TGAAAACTTCTCACCATGGTGTGTACTGATGTTGCTCGTGCGCACTATTAATAATAAAAGTTGACGCCAGCAGCCATTTTGATAAGTTGTTCTTTTCTTACACTGTTGAAGGGTCTAGACAAGGGGAATAACTCGGACATCACTATATCAGAAAGTACAACTACATATGATGGTTAAATGCAACGGGCCAAATCGGGCTCATAGTAAGATTTTTTTATGGAGTACGCAATTGAAATTAACATGATAATGATGCACTTCCTTTATACTCAAGAAATTCGCAATAATGCTATCAGCTGACTCCTCCTCCGATAACGACAGAGATCTATCTGATGCGCCCGGAGACAGATTTCATTCTGCCACACGAGTTATTGTAGACATGAAGTGGGTTTTTTTATTAGATGTGGTAAGTCAATGGAAAATAAACCCTTTCATAACGCCCAGGCCCCAGTTGCTCAAACGTTAGAACTAATAGTAGTTAGTGAAAAAAATTAAATTGCTGCCACCGAAAAAAACATGGGTGTCTAATGTAAAATTAACACCCAAAACATATCAACCTGACCTGTCTCAACAAACCTTTACCTATGAAATAAAAAAAGAATATTTGCAATTTCAAATTTCACTACCACTAGTTATTTCTTAGCAGCCTTTAACAACTGGTTCCAGATGCTTAATTTCAAAAACGCAAAAATAATAACCCACGTATTTACCGTAATTTTTTTAAATTCACTTGAAATATCGTTTATCGTAACTTTAAATGCCAATGCATATTCTCGACTTCAGTTGAGTGTTCGCCACTGTAAGGAAAACTTGGGTTCTGCCTCCTTGCCGAGACATATACCAGTCTTAAAGAGGAACCTGAATGCTTTGTCATATATGTGTCATTAAATCAAATAGCCTTTGCTCGTTCATTTACCGCAAAAATCGCCGAAAACGATCCACGCGTTCCAAAGTTATTGTCGAAAACGCTAAAAACACACCTGAACGAGATCATCGAATGGCACTGTAACAGAGCTCTTCAGTAGTGACGTCACAAGTGGAAGCGCGCGTTCTGTCCCACTCCGGCAGCCATTAGTTTTCCAGCAGAAGTCAGGTTATATCGTTTCGTTTTTTTGGCCTACTTGAATGTTATTCGACTAATTTATACTATGATTGATGGTAAAGTAACAGTAGTGTCATCATCATACCAGAGACATATATAACACATGTATATGTTATATATGACTCTGATCATACAGCTGTTGCGTTCTTCCAGGACTCGTCAGTGATACTATGGACTTAGCTTTTGAAGCCTATGAAAAGGATGAAGAAAATCCTCATTGATAATCTAGATTTGGAGGTGCACTTTATCCATAGTTCAATAAATTTCGTAATATTGATATAAATCTGATAACTTAAAACTTAATAGGTGCCTCTTCCTGCTGTCAGGGTTTGGGTTTCCTGCTGGAGGCCTACAGGAATATATCGCTGTCTTCCAAGAAAAGACTCCAAAACATACTTAACTAACGTAATTACATCGCTAATTGAACCTAGATGCTGATAGTACTTTACACAATATAAAACCAATCGTCCGCAAACTTACACTTGAACAGAATATTCTATTACACATTAAAATTAAATAATTATTTATAGTACATGGCATTTATACCTTCAACGTAGGAAGCAACAAAACTGTCGTAAAAATTGTATTTGATCTGAGAGACAAGTGTGAAGTGGCATCATTTAGCACAGCTTGGTGCCTGAACTATAGAGATAAATAACTACACAGGTAAACACAAGCGCCAGTTATCTTCTTGTTTAATCCTTGTGTACACACACTGTCGGTATATGTAAGCTATACAGTCACCCCATTTACGTCGCCAGAGAATCGACGTACGTCGATTTGACTCTGCCCGGCGACGGAGACGCAAAACCGTCATCATCATCATCATCGTCATCATCATCACCCCAATTGGTAATTGGATGTATCCCGAGTTATATGTGTGTATATATATATATTGCAGCATGCACAAAACACAGTCACAGGGACCTGAGAATATGTTTCATTCTCAATCAATGTTGAGAAAAATCTTTTGTGCCGTCGTCTATAAATTTGTGGAATAAAGTAGATAATTCTGTCAAAGCCTCTCCGTCTTTAAATACCTTCAGATTTAAACTTTCTCCCGTTAACTTTTCTGTTCCAGATTATCTATACTCTGGTAACCGTTTCCTTTCTGTTATACATTGTCGAATAAGGAACAACTGTAGTGGATTACGCTCAGATTTATTTAGAGTGGGAATTTGTCAATCTCCAAATTGCTCTTGTGGAGTTGTCGTTGAAGATGCAAGTCACTATTTTCTTTCGTGCCCTTTATTTTCTAATTGTAGACGTATATTGTTTGCTACTTTATATGACCTAGACGTGATTTTAACGTAGAAACCTTATTATGGGGTGATCTTAACTCTTATTCATATCAAACTAATTGCGAAATAGTAAAAGCAGTTCAAACATATATCCAACAGTCCAAACGATTTGATGCTACCTGAATCTTTACTAATGCAGTCGTACATGAATCTCTCTCTCTCTCTCTCTCTCTCTCTCTCTCTCTCTCTCTCTCTCTCTCTCTCTCTCTCTCTCTCTCTCCCTCTCTCATCAACTCCTGATTTTACAGCATTATGGATCCACAAACTGATTTAAACATGAAATCTATAATTCTGTATTTTTATGTTTATTGTACGAATATATGTCACGTGTTGTAATATATTATCTGTACTGTATTTGTGGAGAAGAGTTTATAAGTCGTAAGAACTTGTCTCTTATCCATTTGTCTTTTGTTGACAATAAAATATGTTTAAATCAATCAATGTTGCGATCCATTTTATATAATCGATATAGAATTGATATAAAATCCATAGTATCTCTTTTCTCTTCTTTTCTTTCTATCCTATCATCTCATCTTACCCTCCTTTTGAAAACATGATTTAAAAAGTACAAGGAGAATAAGACCAGATGTTTCGGAGGGGTAAGTGCCTTCTATTTCATTTGTCAATACATATGATTGATATCACGTTCTCACTGTAGGTAGCAGGTATACTAATAGTGTATGCGAAGATGTGTCCACCAATCCTGTCCCCAGCCCTAATCATGATCATTCTTAGAATGACGTTTCAAATAAATCAATTGCCTATAATTTTCTTCTTCTTCTGTTTTGTTTTTTGTTTTGTTTTTGTTTCGTTTTGTTTTGTTTTGTTTTTTGTTTTTTGCTTTTTGTTGGTTTGTTTGTTTGTTTGTTTGTTTGTTTGTTTCGCTTCCTGCCATATTTTCCATTATGGTACTCCCTGCTTACGCCTGTTCTATATGATCTGGCTGTTGCGATGACTTTAAATCTGTCAAAAAGACAGAGATGAAATAACCTTCGTGAGATGTTCGCTTTATTTGCTCCTTACAACATGGGTAACAGTAGATTTACGCTGCTCTTCTATCTCGATCTATAGTGATGTATCTGTAGACACCAAGGCAGTTATGACTTCCTTACAACAAATATTCTTCAATGTCAATCCTAAAGTGGAAAATGATTAAGCAGACAGGACGGTTCTAATTCTCTGGTAGATGTTCACATTCCTGGTCAGAAAAATGGAATCCGTGTCTTATAACGAGTGGTAACTAGTGACGAACATTATCAGGTGGTCTCACAGAGTTACTGCCCTTTGTTTCACTCTGTCAGTATATGTTATAGCGGTAAGCTGACAGTCGATGGAGGCCGAAAATGGTACAATAAGACACAGTTTTATTATTTGCTTTGTACTGAGTTTGAAATATGTATGTGTTTATCCTTTTAAAGTTTTTAAAGGTATTACTGTAAACAGACATGTATAACACATATATGCTGTAAAATGAAACTCATATTTTAGGTAACACACGTGTGTGTGTTTTATTTAACTACACGTATCTACAACGTTAGATCACTTATAACTAAGGTCTACAATATTTCGATAAGTGAGTTCCGATTACACTCAATCGATAAAACCGCTGTGAAAATTGTTTAGATACGGTATTTTAAGACGGCGGGGGAGAGTTTATCTGTTCCGAGACTATTTATCATCTCGGCCTATCACTGAGGTACGGGAAGTGACGTCATTGTTCTAGGCCAAAGTGTGAAATAACGTCATTGGATAGTTCTATAAAATGTCACGTTATCATATGCGTTGATTAGTTACAAGTCAGTGCCATAATAGATGTGACATTCCTTTTCACCGGCGATGACTAATACCCGTGACGTCATAAAATTAAGTGATTTCTGTCTTTCTGTCTAGTTTCATTCATTAATTTTTCCTCAGATAAAATTATCGTACATATAATTACCCGAGTTTGATAAAGGTTTTCTTTATTTTTAACTTCCTCATACCGTCATTTTACTGAACCAACAAACTAGATTCACACTTAGAAAATTTATACAAGAAACCCATGTATAGGTATGTCGGCACTTAAATGAAGCACCCCATGACTACACCGATAAGAAATATTACTGACATATATCACCGCCATTTCACTGTATATATACTAAACTTGTATTTTTAACATTTTTATTTTCTAAACTGATACATGATAATTATAAAATTATGTTGACGTGGTAGCTATATTGAATTGAATTTCAGATAGTTTCGTATTTTCGTCAAATCTAGCTATGCTTAATTTGTCACGCGGCCTCGTTTTGAATTTAATTAGTGCGCACGCTTTGTACTACTAGTCTAGTGTTCGGGGTAAGGATGCTATGTGAACAGTTTCACAATATCACATGACATTCTTCATTGTTTTCATTGGTTCATTGTTTACATTTATACACAACTTTCCGTGAATGATCTTTCCTCTGTTTCCTTGGTGTTAGAATATAGGTAAAATATATAAATTACTAATGTGCGCTGAGGATGCAAGCGGTTTACGTAAATACACAGTACAAAATAACTGTCCTTGGACTTATTTACTATACATGTTTTCAGCTAGATTGGATTATTATACGACTTACCTTTGGATTTTTCGGCACCCTTCCCATATTCGTCGGATGACGTAAGAATATCCGGCTGGTTTCTTGATTTCAGGATCGCAACTGTTTCACGCGTGCCCAGAAGTATCTGTAGAGCTGTCTGTACGTCCTCAAGATATGTAAATCTAACGGCTTTGGAACCGTTCCGAACTTCTTGAACAGGCAGGTCTAGTTTGATCTTGACTTTCTTCCACTGCGATGATGTGTCTTTCAGAACTGTTAAGATTCCATTCCTATCTTTTGTCGTTTCTGGTATTGTGACATCATGACTTGTACGCCGGTAGAATTGACATTCTGAAAAGCTATTTTCTCGCCTCAGAAACTGAGGTACCGCGAAGCTCGCACGACGAAGCGAAGGTCCTACTGGCTTTCTTTCCGAAGAACCTTTCCTACTGCTAACAATAGATGTCCTCCGTGAGTCAATGGACTCCACTGAGTCCCGACTTTCCTTTTTTCTGTTGAAGCACATCACCGAGTTTCTTCTCAATGTCATTCTTGGACATTTGTCCTCATCGTCTACAGTTTCCTTAATGTCGAAAGGGAGGTTATCTAGCACAGCAAACGTTTTCCTTCTTACTCTGAACGGTTCGATTCCCTTGGTCAAAATTTCCGTATCAGTTTTCGTTCCTTCCGGTATTGAGCTAGCAACTTCCGCTTCATCCGACTCGGATATGATAGAATATCCTTCCTGTATGGCTTTCACTCGATCCATTACTGTCAAACCGGCACTGCTAAAAGTACAGTCCGAGTAGACGTTACTCGATAAGTTTGAACTTTGACCTGACATGTCACAAATTCTAGATCCTCGTGTTCTATCGATAGCAGTAAAGTGATTCGCATCATGTTCGGTTTTCTCCTCTTTCGTCTCTTTCAAACATCTCAATAACCCATTTGAAGTTGAGATGATATCAGCATTTCCGTTATGATGTATTCTGTTCGGCGTAGAATCTTTAATACCAGTCGTTTTGAACCACTCTCGGACTTTATTTTCAATAGTACATCCCACAGTGTTGCTTCCCAAGTCGTTCCCGCTTTGACAGGTTTCCGATGAGGTCTTGAGGGTAACGTACGCGCTTTGTGCGGCGTCCATAGTTACTTAGTGCCGGCCTCGCTATGCTAAGCCAGTGTGGAGTATAGCTGTCAATTATCAAAGGAAAGGCGAGTTAAATTAGACAACATTGTTAAACTGCCTCGTAAAATATTTCACAGGATTAAAATACTAACATTAGCAGCGAACAAATAGTGTGGCAGCGCAAATGTTGACACTGTACAAGGAACACGTACTTTCACATTACACATATATTTAATTGATGGAAAAACAAGGCACGGTTCAATGAATAAAAAAAAGACAATTACCAGATGTTATATTTACCGATGTGGTCCGCGAGAAAACGTTCTTTGAAACACATACTGAAGAAAATTATTGATTATTAACTACAATGGACACATGGAATTTTTTTTATTTATTTACATTTCCATGGAAACCGGGACGGTGACATTTCGTCGTCAAGATGGCTGTTTTACTTGCCGGATCGACAACGGAAGATGGTTTAATTCACATGTGTATAGAAAATATTAATATTAATAAGCAAAAGCATAGGACACATGACTTGACATGGTATGTATGGTCGTGAAAGATCATCCGGTCATTATAAATGACAGAATGTTACAGTCAAACATATATATTTCTCTGTCATTTATGCTGTCCATAATTGCCATATCATGATGGTTAAATACAATAAATAAATATAATAGGGACTACATGTAGCTGTATGGTCATCTATATATCATCTATCATTGTGCATGATGAAAATTTCCGTCGGTAATTACTATAACGAGGGGTCCAGACAGAGGTACTACATTTCACCTCATCTATTCATTTTTTTTACTTTCTGCTGAAATGTTGGTAATTCTGTAGAGAAATTGAATCATAACAATGGTATTTCTGTGGCAAATATTATCGTCATACCATACTGAATTCAAGTTTTGGTCGGAAATCTATGGAGGCTTGAATATAAATTCTGTCCCAAGAGCCAAGTTGTAATGGGAAGTGAAACTCATCTCTTGGAATAAATTTCTTTCCAAAACAATATTTTAAACTATGAACTTATTCAACTATTATGCATGTTGAAAAAGTTTTCGTCGTTAATTACTATTTAGGGGGAAAAAACACAATCCAGGACATTACATTGTGCGTCTATGTAAGTTAGTTCAACCTCTAAAACTGGAAATTATGGTCACACTAGAAAGATAAAATTTCACAAAATAAAAAGTTCATAATTTTACTGATTCCGGGTATTTTTGTAATTTCTACTATATGTTGATATTAACTGATTTTCATAACTCTGTCTGTTTCACATACCTGTTTACTCTCAGGAATAGTCAGCTTCAAAATGATAAAAAAAACATCCGAACAAACTATATCATTACAAGTGTTAGAAAAGTGTACAAAGGTCAGGATGGAGAGGTTGTGACGTCACCTAATCTGCCCAGGAGGCATTATAGCGTTATCTCTAAGTTGAACACTCAGAGTCACTGTTTGGAATCTACGGCGGTAGACGAACCTTTGGATCAACAAAACAGTTATGTTTTATGGAGGAGGGGTATTGTCGTGATGGAAAAAAATTAACGTGATGATGAATAAACACTACAAAATGATCACGTGACTTTTGTACAATCTTCTAAATTACAGGTGATAGACATTACTGACAGTTAGTATATGAGGTTTACCATAACCTATTTCCTCGTTTTGATTCTTTCGAAATGTGGAATGGTTTAGAATATGCTTGACTTTCTGCTAAAATTTACAGATATAGGGAAATAAAAAAAATCATTTGAATTATGATACTAGTGGACCTTTTCGTCTAGATGTTGACTTTTCTTTTGATCACTTTGAATTTTCCTCAGTCGCCTTCTATGTTTAACGTTTAGACACTAAGCATCAATGAAGAGTCCTAGAAGGACGAAACATCTGTATGATGTAGCATTAATGACGAGTCCTAGAAGGACGAAACATCTGTATGATGTAGCATTAATGACGAGTCCTAGAAGGACGAAACAGCTGTATGATGTAGGATTAATGACGAGTCCTAGAAGGACGAAACAACTGTATGATGTAGCATCACTGACTTGTACTAGAAAGACAAAACAGTTGTATGATGTAGCTTCACTGACTTGTACTAGAAAGACAAAACAGTTGTATGATGTAGCATTAATGACGAGTCCTAGAAGGACGAAACATCTGTATGATGTAGCATTAATGACGAGTCCTAGAAGGACGAAACAACTGTATGATGTAGCATCACTGACTTGTACTAGAAAGACAAAACAGTTGTATGATGTAGCTTCACTGACTTGTACTAGAAAGACAAAACAGTTGTATGATGTAGCATTAATGACGAGTCCTAGAAGGACGAAACAGCTGTATGATGTAGGATTAATGACGAGTCCTAGAAGGACGAAACAACTGTATGATGTAGCATCACTGACTTGTACTAGAAAGACAAAACAGTTGTATGATGTAGCTTCACTGACTTGTACTAGAAAGACAAAACAGTTGTATGATGTAGCATTAATGACGAGTCCTAGAAGGACGAAACAACTGTATGATGTAGCATCACTGACTTGTACTAGAAAGACAACACAGTTGTATGATGTAGCATCACTGACTTGTACTAGAAAGACAAAACAGTTGTATGATGTAGCTTCACTGACTTGTACTAGAAAGACAAAACATCTGTATGATGTAGCATTAATGACGAGTCCTAGAAGGACGAAACATCTGTATGATGTAGCATTAATGACGAGTCCTAGAAGGACGAAACAGCTGTATGATGTAGGATTAATGACGAGTCCTAGAAGGACGAAACAACTGTATGATGTAGCATCACTGACTTGTACTAGAAAGACAAAACAGTTGTATGATGTAGCTTCACTGACGTGTCATAGAAAAAAATATCAATATTCCTGAAATAGCTTTTTTTTAACACTTCACATTGTAACATCATGAAAGAGAGTGCATGACATTATTTAATGGCATAAGTCAGTTAATATATATCAAAACCACTGAAAACGCACAAGAGATGTTTAAATACCATATTTATCCGGCAATAAGGCCATGCCTGGTAATAAGCCCACCCATGCCTTTTTCATAGTTTTCAAAAATTTCAAATTCTATGTCCTATATAAACTATATCCCTGAAATAAGCCCGCTCCCAATTATTGATCCAATATCAAACACTGGCCCCTTAGCTTATTGCAGGATAAATACATTATTTAAAGTTGTCTGTTGCTTACAACCTGTTGTTACCTTTTCGCTCATGGCTTATACTATAGCGATATGATAATTATGTAAATATTGCCCCTCACATTAATAATTGATTTTTCCTACAGACGAAAAAGCCCAAAAGTTGAATTGGATAATGAGGTGATGTTCGACAGCGACAAATCTGTTACAAAGGAATTAGCAACACTAGATCACAGCTACAGAAGTACAGACAGTAAAAGTGAAATCGGGTATTTATGAATTATAATGCTTTCAAGTCAAACTAAACTTTTATTTTAGATGAGTAGCAAAGAATGGAGTTTTTAGTGCCAATTTATATGTACCAAGTATATTAAGCCAATGATTTTTTTTTTTTCAAAGTTCGAGACTTGGAAGAGGAGATTGCTTCCATAGAAAAAGAAGTAGAAATGCTTAAGCTGAGAAAACCAAGAATGAAAATACAGGACATCATTCATGACACAGATAAGGTTAGCCTTTAAATAATTATTTTATGCTCGATTCCTCCATACCTAAGGTGAATTTTTAGTATTTTAAAGCATAATGTTTTGTTACTTAGCAACATGAAAGACATTATTTCGCTTTTGGTTTCCATAATATGTTAGTACTATAGTATACGCAGCACATATCTACCATTTGAAATATTTGGATATTGGCCAAGTTACCTTATGGGATACCACAGCATCCATCATCTGCCATTTTATCCTATAAATCCCTTCTTCTCTTGAACCACAAAATCAATTTCCACCAAAATCCTTGGCTAAAGGAGATCAAATTTTGTATAAAGAAGTGTCTGAGCCCTTAAGAGGAAATTTAGCCAATTCTCTAAAATCTTACTTGTTTGGAAGAATATGGTCTTCTCAAAAGTAGGTCACTGTAACCTTGACTTCGACCTTTGACATCCATAAAAGTACGCCGGGTGGGGGACTGTAATTCTTGAATTATCTTCTTTGTTTTGGATATTCACTGGCATATTTTGTTCTGCTTTGCGGTACTCTTTTTATTTATATTGATAGATGTTTCTGTACACTTCACTTCAAGCTGATGTATCTAATGTGTTAGCTGACTTACTGAGAAGAATGTCACCATTTAACTACTATGCAGGATGGACAGTCAATTGCTTTAGCATGGAAGACCAGCAATTAATGACTCTCATGAAATTAAGGCTCAACGGTAGGGATTTAGATTTAGCAGAGAGATTTAACACAAGCCGTGCAACTGTTTCAAATATCATCAATACTTACATTTCTGCTCTACATGAAATTTTATATGATAGTGTCTTGAAAGTATACCTAGTCAGTTAAAATGTAAGGAGTCTATGCCAAAGTATTTTAAAGACTTTAGTTCTGCCAGAATAGCAATGGATGCTACAGAAGTTATTCAAGATGTTCCATCAGACATGAATTGTCAATCTCTTTCCTATAGTAACTATAAAAGTAGGCATACTGTCAAACCTGTAACGTGTAGCTCCAAAAGCAGCATTGGTATATTAATCTGATTTGTACCCTGGATCAACTTCTGATGCAGCCATTATAGAACATTCCAAGTTACTTGATCAACTAAAACCGGGGACATGATACTGGCTGATATGGGTTTCAATATTTTTGAAAAACTACATGCTGGTGTTTCATTAAATATCCCTCCTTTCCTGTCAAACAAAGGTCATTTTACCAAAGAGGAGACAGAACTTTGTTTTAAGATTGGAAGAAGTAGGATCCACGTTGAGCGAGCAAATGAAAGAATAAAGAATTTTGAGATTTTAAATCACATACCAGCACAATACAGGCATTTATCAACAAAACTTTTCAAGTTTGCTGCTGTCTTGTCAATGTTCAGGCTCCATTGTTAAAAGAAATTCCAGATAAATATGAAATTGTCCAGTCTTGAAATGTCGGGTGTAGATCTGTCTGTTTATCTATTTATAATTTAATATTTCATGCACATTCTACTATTTTCTCAGCTGTAAATCTTGAGCTCAGCTATTAAAAGGACATGCAAGCTATTATTTCCATACCAGCATTAGTGATGGGTTATCGGTGGCTTAAGGTTTTTGCTTGCTGTTCTTTAAGCATTAAGCATAAAAAGAATTCACTTAAAACTGTTTTCTCATGAAATAAAGAAGGCAATCAAATTTAACTTCACACATGAGTTTGAGACCATATGGTACTTTATACGTGTACATGTATTTATACATATGTTAAGACATATACAGTAAGTCATGACAATCATTCAATAATTTCTTGTACTCTCGAAATAATAACTATTTATTGTTTCATAACACTTTCACTGGAACATCTTATCTTACTGATCATTTATCTGTTGATCTGTAGATGTACATTATGTACATTTATCTGTAGATGTAAAGAATTTGTTTAGATCTATCTATGGATGTAAAAATATGTTGCAAATAGAGTTGTAGTACAATCTGACATTTTTTAAAATTTAACTGTTTTAATTACAGTGATGGCAAGAACGTGTTGAAATAAAAATCAATCAGAACAGAAATAGTTGGTGTCCACAGTTGATCTTTTGTTATCCTTATCACCTGAAAGTCTTTTGTTGTCCAGACAGCAAGGTTACAACACTGAGTCCCTGTCAGGTACAGCTGGCCCTGTATCTGGTGCCAGTAGTCATGTGACTGTTTTAGCACAATCTTTCCATCATCTGACATTTCTGAAACAGTACACATATTGGACTTAAAACTAAATAACAAATATTGGAATGATAAAAACACTGATCTGAGTAATTTCCATTATGTACCACATATGCATGGTCATATACAGGCTAATATATACAGCCTATGAATCAAATCAATATAAACTTTTGTTAGAAACAGTCGAAAACCGCTGAGAAAGTTTCGAGTACCGGGTAGTCGTCTTTAGAACATAAATTATCTCGGCAAAAGGGAGTCATATATCTGTAACTTGACAGAAATTTAACATGTCAATCTGATACACATCTTTTAAGTGGTTTCCGTCTGAATATCTCCTTAAAATGAACAATTTAGTCTGACTGTTAGCAAAGTTACAGAGCTTTTAAAGAAGTTCTTAGTTACTTCTTACCTAGGAAAAGCTGTTTGATAGATTCACACGCCTCTAATATTGTCTTGTCTCTGGCTGTGTATGGGCATTTCACCTCAACTATGGTGATGACGTTAAGTGGTTTCTACACTGATGATGGATACTCCCATCGTTCTTAAACTCTCCTCGTACAAATCCATCAGATGATGCACTAAGTACCCCAGACTCATGCAGCCATATACCTGTATATAAGAAAAGCATGATCAAATTACTAATTCAGGTACAATTTTATGCCTAGCAAATATTGTGGTTAATAAAAAAAATATTTCAAAATGAAACCTTCTACGTACTGACAGTTAAGTTTAAAGTGTAAGTAAGACTTTTTCATGTGTACTGATCAATACTCCAAAACAGAGGCCAAGGTTGATAACTTTTAATCAAAATATGACAGACTTGATACATTTAATAATGTCAGCCAAAGAATTAGATTACAAATTACAAACTGCATACACATTGGTTTTAAACTTGCCTGTCTGCACCACAGTTACTCCTCCTTTCTTACAATATTCTTCAATCCCATTTTTTTTCATGAGCTACACCCCATTAATAATATACATTAAAACAGGCATAGCTGCAAACTGTGTGAAATAAATGCTAGTAGTGATTCTTCTGAAAAATGTCTTAAAACTCTTATTCATTGAACATGATAATGACACAACATTTTACATGATTAACCTTTCAGTTAGTTACTTTCATACAACACGAATCATTCAGAAAAGAATAAAAATATATCTATATAGTAAATTGTTCTACCTATTTCAATTTGCTGCAACAAGAATTTGTCCAAAATTGGATGCAGTAAAGCGCAGTTTCCTGACTGCTGCCCAAAGGGGATTTTCTCTTTGGCCAATGGTGGCATAGGCTGTCTCTTTCACCTTTTTCTGCGATACAACCAAGTGTTGACTCAACCATGTTTTGGTGTCCTTAGCTGAGAGGTAGTTAGGGTTCATCAGGCAGTCATCCATTAGGGGCACTGGTACTTCCTGAATCCCTGTGTCATCAGCCAGAATCCAATGTAAAGCTGCAATAAAATACTTATATATAAACATAATTAATGAAAGCATTAAAAAGCTTGCAAAAGATGTGTTTCAATGTCTTTCCCAAATATTGCCTTCGTGGTGTATGGTAAAAAGATTTCACATGTATACATGAGATTAACACTCAATGTTAACCCCCCAACCCCACCCACGTAACAGAAAAAAAAAATCCTTAAACTTATGTGAACAGCAATATTGAAGCAAAATTGGTATATTGTGAACATCATTTCAATGGCAGTATTTTAACTGCATATTGCAACATAACCTTTATCAAGTATGCTCTAATGATATAAGTTACACTTATCTTTGAAATCAATTCTTTCAAAAAATATCTACATTAGTTAAATTGCACTTTAATTAAGGAATGACATGTATAAACTCTAAACATATCACATATGAACTTCAAAACCGAACTGATTAAAAAAAACAAAACAAAAAAAACATGACCATGTAGCTAATTACAGTGTAGTTTTTGGAGGTGCTGACTTGGGGTGTTTCATCCAACTTCACTTTACATCAGTTTTACTTCCACTTTTGTAGCTAAAATAAAAAATTAAAAAAAAAGATTAATAAAAAAATCCCACTTTAATTATTATCTACATTTTTGTCACATACGATAAATGTACAAACATACTGAATCCACTTAGTCTTTATTAACTTATCTATTCTTTTAATCATATGCTTACCCAATGCAGCTGCTACATGATGGCATTTATATTCCCCAATCGGGCATTGACGTGATGTTGCCTTAACTGCACCATTGTCTTCATCATCAAGGAAGATCTACAAGGGGAAATATTGAACTAATTATAAAAATCAAATCTGGTTATACAGTTTTTATCAAAAGTTCTGTGTGTCAAAAAAAAACTGGTGATGAAAAATATTTGTCAAAACACACTGACCAATTACTATTGAACCGATATAAATATGTTTTTCTGCCTACAGGAACTATTGTATATTTATGTAGTACTGATCAGCAGATTAATGACCTGATAACATGTATCGGTGAATAAATGTATAGAGTTCCAGAAGGCGATAAAGAAATCACATCTGCCAGTCTGAATTCTAAGTCAGATGTGAAAGAAGTTACATAAAACACCAATATTTATCTGATATATAGTTTTTGCGAACTATAAATAAAACAGCGTAAATCGTGAATTTGAGAAAATACTAATAACTCATCTGAACACTGTATGAGGTGTCTTTCATTGATGCTTGCATGCATGCTGATACCACTCGCATCTCATCGTTATGAAACGAAGCACTCTGCCACTTTCGACAGATGCTTCGCTTTTCCGAGTGAGTTTACTCCGGTCATTGACATAGTTGGCCCAGTAAGAAATTGCACCCTATTGTCAAATTGCCAGTCTAGAACATGTCATGATGGCGTTTCCGTTAATTCCAAGTATTGGATATACTTTAACACTTTGCCAGTCTAGTCCATTATAACAATTCCTTTCACCGTTTCCGATAATGAAAATGAACTAAAGCGCTTGCTGGAAAAGGTATGAAAATGTACTTTCGAACTTTCAGTGAATATCAAATGTTTACTGTATCAAGAAGGAAAATCGATATTAAATCATCTGTGATTGATTTTTAAAAAATATTTTCCTAATTTTTTTTTATATAAAATCAACGGGTATAAAGAATATAAGAACTTTGTTTTTCGTCTTTTTTCAAAAAAATATTGAACGAAATGAAGAAAAAAGATATAACATAATCAAGAGAAAAAAGTCGTCTTCAGTCAATGTCGGGTGTCAAGCTTAGGATCACAATTCTCCTGCAGTTATCTCTCCTTGCACATGCTAGTAATTATTTGTCCGCCAGGTGTCGCCAAAGTTTAAAATGGCGACTGAAACCAATCAACAGGTGTAAACAACTATTTCCAGGTGTTTTTAAAATGGAAAATGATGAAAAAGTTGTGTGATACGTAGTAAAAGAAGGATGTCACTTTCTGCAACTGACAGAAAGGCATATTGGTCAGATCAAAAGGACAGGTAAAAAACAGTTGAGAAATTTAAGTTACGATCGCAACTTGTTGTTTGATCATCGTTAACGGTCACTGACTGAGGTGGCCGATCTTAAGGAAATCTGGGCTGTAAGTCTTTTCACAGGAGTTCGTGTTCTGGGGTTAATATACAAGCTTTAAAATTCCCATTTCACCCTGATTTTTTCCCGTTGGATTTTCTCTATATAATTTACTTGCATTGTTTTGTGTCCCGAGTTACCTGTAGCTTTGACCTAAAATTTCTGTCGTAATAATGATAATTTGATATCCATGTTCATATTTATTGTGCTTTGATTGATGTTTACAGGGCAAAGTCAATAAAAATGTAAATATCAACAACGGCATAATCAATAAGAGTAATGAAATTAAATAATCATTTTAGAGACGGAAATTTTAGGTCTACATATGACTCTTCGTCAGTACTGAGAAGGTAGCCTTATAACGCCACAGGCTCATGTGCTTGTGGACATGAATAGGATTTTTTACTATGAAAAAATATAAACCATTTTATAACTTCCAGATGCTTAGTTTCAAAAACGCAAGATATAATTTTGATAACCCATTCAACCACTACACATTAGTGATTTTGGGACTAATATTTGAGTCCTGGACTCCTGATTTCACTCACATTTTAATTGAACTCGTTAAAAAAAATTGGAAATGGCACTCTGGACTCACCAGAATATATCACATAACAACTATATAGGGCATTCGCAAAAACTGTATGAAAAGCATTTACGATTAGACATTAGAAAACATTTCTTTAGCCATCGAAATTGTAAATTTGTGGAACAGCTTGCTCCAGCATGTTATAAATGCTACTACAGTCAGACAGAAATTTTATTTGATGAACAATATTAATTTAATCGAAATAAATTCACGGAATAGAGCCAGAAGTAATATTAGCAAATTTTTTTCATGAATTGTTAAACTTTATATTGATTAGCAAGCCTGCGTACATCATGTATTGTAACATAAGAGATATTTCTTAGACCTTAAGTCAGGCGAGACGTTTATTTGACCACTTGCTATAAAGAGATACAATTTGTTTCTAATGAGACTTTCCTTAGACTACTAGACACATGAGACTTTCCTCACACCACTAGACACATGAGACTTTCCTCACACCACTAGACACATGAGACTTTCCTCACACCACCAGACACATGAGACTTTCCTTAGACCACTAGACACATGAGGCTTTCCTCACACCACTAGATACATGAGACTTCCCTTAGACAACTAGACACATGAGACTTTCCTTAGACCACTAGTCACACATGAGACTTTCCTCACACCACTAGACACATGAGACTTTCCTCACACCACTAGACACATGAGGCTTTCCTTAGACCACTAGACACATGAAACTTTCCTTAGACCACTAGACACATGAGACTTTCCTCACACTACTAGACACATGAGACTTTCCTTAGACCACTAGACACATGAGACTTCCCTTATACCACTAGACACATGAGACTTTCCTTACATCACTAGACACATGAGACTTTCCTCACACCACTAGACACATGAGACTTTCCTTACATCACTAGACATATGAGACTCACACCACTAGACACCTTTCCTCACACCACTAGACACAAGACACATGACACAAACTTTCCTTGACACCTGAGACTTTCCTCACACCACTAGACACATGAGACTTTCCTTAGACCACTAGACACATGAGACTTCATTTAGACCACTAGACACATGAGACTTTTCTCACACCACTAGACACATGAGACTTTCCTCACACCACTAGACACATGAGACTTTCCTCACACCACTAGACACATGAGACTTTTCTCACACCACTAGACACATGAGGCTTTCCTTAAATCACTAGACACATGAGACTTTCCTCACACCACTAGACACATGAGACTTTTCTCACACCACTAGACACATGAGGCTTTCCTTAAATCACTAGACACATGAGACTTTCCATAGACCACTAGATGCATGAGACTTCCCTTAGAACACTACAGGAATTTTAGTTGGAATTTTTCAAGCGAATCCAGAAGGCTATCTCCAAAATTTTGATGAGTTCCATTGCTAAGACATATACTGGGTCCTCAAAACATGAGTCCTACTAGAAAATCATGAGTTCAGGACTCAAATATCTGTGTCCCAAAAACTGCCACTAGACATAGGAGACTTTAATTAAACACTACATATCTGAGAATCTACTTCATTCAATGACGTAAAGAAAATTGTTGATACTGACTGTTACCAACGCAAACTCTAAATTTTACACTCTTTGGGGAAAAAAATTTGTATTTTTATGAAGAGACATAAGCTCAAGACTCCAGTATACATGTATTCCATTTCAGGACACATGTTATTTCAAATATTAAATTTCCTTCATGTCATTCCAGTTTAAATAGGATACGTTCACGATTAAGTGACAGAGACTCTCCTAAACGCCTGCGAGAGTCCCCCGTATATCAAAGAGATCACTCTCCTTATGGCAAATACAGGAAGCCTACCTCACCAGCGTACCTGCCAAGGTTTGTAGAAACCAGTTTTAGTGCTCAGTTAGATATAGACCTGGACTTTTTAACATTCCCAAAAATCATTTTGTTTCTTTTCCTGCACTTAAGGTAATTTGTATATATATTATTATATATAATATAGATATAAAAACTTTAAAGACCATCTTGAACTTATGACTCATCAGATTTCTTTTTGAAAAGACAATGTAATGGCTTCATGATTGATGTTGTGTCATCAAACACATCATAATAGAAAACAAAATGGCCAAATTTTACCGTAACCTGTCGAGACTTGATTTCATAATTTTGATCAATTGATTTTGTTTCTTTTCAAACAGAATTGTATCAGATGATTATAACTGATCTATAAGCAGTACATTGAAGGTGTCACCTGCAAACATTAATGAATATGTATAGTATAATATTACAGCTTTCAGTTAAATCTTCTACACTATATGGGTGACTACTCATGAATTTAACTTTTCCATATTAAAGTTGAAAATTATTTTTATTTTTATTTGAATTTTTTTTTCTTTCACGAATAACCCTTGACTGTATAAAAGGTGAAGGCTAAGTATTGTACATACTGATCAGTTAACTGATTTGATGTTGGGTATGTTTTTAGACTTGACCGTCATGATCGGACACCTCAAGGTTACAGAGATGACCGTGTTAGAGGTAGTAAATATGGAATTATTCCCCCTGTGCACCATCGTGAGAAAAACAAAAGGTTTGTTATTCTCATTTAAACTTTGACACCTTGTTCTAAATTGATATTGTAAACGGATTTGTTACAATAAATTCACAACGAGAACTAAAATTTTGTCCTATTTTCTTCCTACTCTTTATTAAATTTGTTATATAAAACTTCTCTTTTTCATTAGATTTTGGAATGTGACTCGAGACAAATTTTACATAAAGTATGAATATAACAGGGCAAAAATAAACTAAAAAAAAAAAATATTCCGTTTCAACTTCAGATAAAATGTTTCTACTAGGATTTTTGTTTTAATATAAAGAATTATAAATGCATTGGCACAAGTCTCTAATTTATCATCCTTAATTATTTGTTAATTTTTTATTTTGAATTTGTTTTATGTCAATTTGAAGGAATTACAGGGAAAAATTGATGTCTGCTTTTTTTATTTTGTTTAGCCCGGCCGTAGACTATGACAGTTGGGGAGAGGAAAGTGATGATGAAGATGACAACTACCACCAACAGCCACAATATTATATGCCCCAACCTCTTCCATATGGATACCCAACCTATGTACCCCCTGGAGGGGGCCCCCAGCCTGTGGTGTTTGGACCCCCTTTCCCTATGTATTATCCCCCTCCCCCGCAGTACCGTGGAAAAAACAGACGCAGTAAAGACAAACGCCGACAAAGATCACCAGAACACAGTAAATCATATAGAAATGAACCTCCTCTTCACCACTCAATACCAGGACATGACCCCTTCTCTACACGGCGAGAACCATCAGTCAAGGATGATGTCCTGAAACGCTATAAGGTTTGTCTCAGTTTAACATTTTGTTATGTAATATAATGTTTTTCTTTTAAATTCAAATAGTCTGAAATTTCAGCATCAATTTATTTTAGTTCTTATCTGTACAGTTGCAGAATTAGACCTGATTGAAAAAAACTGGTCAGTAGTGGCCAGCCATTTCTTATACATTATCTGACAATTTTCTCGGGTTGGTAGTTTTGCATATCTGAGTTTGGAAGGAATGTCTGTTGCTTCATCAAGAGAAAAATTGGGAAGCAGAGTATAAGGAATACTTCTCTATGGTAATGTCAAAGAAAATAGGTTGAACAACAGCCTCATAAAATATACAGAGCAAATTGTATTTTGGAACATTGCATGTTGTCAAACATCAGTGATAATGAAAATCTGATACATATGTCCTGAAATGTTCTTTTTATGGGGAATTTTGAAAACTCATGCCACTCCATGGTGGCATATATTGGATATTAATGAGACTCATCAAAAGTCTTGAAATATTAAGTTCTGAAATCTCCCTAAAATTTTATAAAAAGTTCTTTCCAGTGTATATACAGCAGATCCCTCTAGACAAATAGCAGCATGCTACAAGTGATTAATTAAAAAAATCAAAAGTGAATCTACATCAGTCAACTGATGGTGAGTTCAAATCATTCAGGGAAACCATTTGTCTATATTTCATTTGACAGTATATACACCCACGCGACAGTCCATTTACTCCCCCGGCTGGCGAGTCTTTAGTAGAACAAAGATACAGAGGAGATATTGTAAGTATGAACAGTAAAATCCTGACGTTTTAGATGTTAGATGATGTAGGGGTTTATTTTTCATTTTATTTGCAGCTTTTGTACAAATTATTGTGAGAAAATAAAACCAGTTCGATTGAGATCTTGTGTAATTATGTTCTAGCTAGAATTCTTCATTACATTGAGAACTATCTTCTTTTAGCTGCAAAAAGCTGGAATACTACCTAAATAGAAATGTCTTTGAAAAGAAATTTGCTTTAATGGAATCAACATCTAGTCAATCAAATATTTTGTAAGAATATTTTTTTTTTTTTTTTTTTTTTGAAAAAGTAACATTGCAAAAAGTTAAAAAAAAAAACACACAAAGTGTTGAAATATAAGTAATTAAAGTTCTTGAGTTAATTTTCCTGAAACAGCTTCAGATTTTAAAAAAATCTTGTTGTAGTGTTTAATCATTAAAATTAGATATGTGGCTTGAGGTGTGAAACTTTCCATTCATTTGATAAGCCTAATGGTTGACTTAAAATTTAGATTGAAAATGTATACTCCCATGAGATACTGAAAAATTTTAACAATATAGATTACTAGAACATCAATGTTGTGCTCATGGGTGATATCTACAAAACATATTTTTAAAAAAGTTTGCAAATTTATTTCATTGGAACCTTTAAGTTCAATTTCTGTATCTTTTTTTAATTTCTCTATTCATAGAAGTTTTTCCTCACCTTTTAAAAATAATGTTGCGAAATACTCAGCACCCTTCGAGTGTTAGAAAGACCTTACATGGTTTCATGTAATTTTATCACTTGTTGTTAGTTTAAGAACTGTTTGAGAACCATGCTGGCTCAGGATCTCTGTTATACAGGTAAATAGAGCCTTGGAGGATTGATAAGATTTTATGTCTGAAACCAGTCAAATGGCTGACCGTCGGCCATCAAATTTCTGGCAACATGCAGATTTGTTCAACATTTGATTTTAGAATAAAGCAAATTACGTGTACAATGTACATAAGAAAGGTCTATTTACGAAAGAACAGACAATATTGCTGTTTACAGGCTGATAGAATTATGGTTTCTAAAAAAGATACTTTGACAAAGTGCCACCTATTTAAAAGTTGGTTATCTCCCTTTGCTAGGATGACTGCTGTGTCCAACATCCTCCATAAATGGAGAGTATTTACCTTATTGAAGAAATGTTTTATGTAATATTTTAACAGATATGCTATTTGGCTTTAAAGTGTTATGCTATGTCTCATTCAAAACCTTCTTTATTTAATATAGCTGCTAAATGCTGAGCTAGCTTTATTTAAAATTATGGAATCTTGAAGTTTTTTTTACTTCAGCTCGAATAAGTGTTTGAATCTTTTTGTTAGTACTTAACCCTGTGTGTGGTTAACAATGCTAATTTGGTCCTGAAGCAGTCTTAGTTCACTGTCAGTATTGATACTGGTTGTTATGGATACCTAGATCATGGTCATTATGGATACCTAGGTCATGGTTGGTATGGATACCTAGATCATGGTTGGTATGGATACCTAGATCATGGTTGCTATGGATACCGAGATCATGGTTGTTATGGATACCGAGATCATGGTTGTTATGGATACCTAGATCATGGTTGGTATGGATACCTAGATCATGGTTGCTATGGATACCTAGATCATGGTTGCTATGGATACCTAGATCATGGTTGCTATGGATACCTAGATCATGGTTGCTATGGATACTAAAGAAACTTAAGGATGTCTTAAGATTTTATTTCAGTTTTTTTCCTTTTTGACATTCTTTACTATTTTAGTTTATTTAGATCTGAATATTTTCAGGAAGTGAAACCTGGAATTCTCTTATAAATGACCTTCCTTATTGGTTATGGAAATTGTTTTCCCTGATACAAATCTTACTTCATCATTTCCTGCAATTATTGTCCTTATTAACAAACACAAAACAATGAGATAGCTCTTTTAATATAATTATATAAATAATTCTTGATCAAATCTTCAAGGTGGATTTTGAAAAAGATCAAACTGTACACTACTTGATGGTCTTTCTATGTATACAGCCACTGTATATCCTGTTGACTTCCCCTACAGAGTTAATACCATTTTTCAACATCTTTTCTGGGCTGGTAGATTTTGTATTTGTAGGGTGAGTGCTAAAATGTGGCTATTTCTGCAGAATAGTGTTTGAAGAATGGAATTGTACAGTCACCTTTTATAGTACTGAAACACTTATATGTAAATAATCAGCTGTGAAGATACAAGTAAACTTACATGTAATCAGTGTGATTTCAAGCTTTATTGAACATCATTTGTGAGACATCTCTGTAAATTTGCATTCATAGTCAGTCTTGTTGACTGAGGGTAACGTGGGGGTTGAATTTTTTTGGAGGAGTCCGGGAGGTAGTCTGGGAAAGGATGACAGCGGTACCGGTCTTTAGAAAAAATAGACTGACAAATACATTGTAAAACAATGGAACTAAATTCAGTGTTATATTCATTACTTTGGTATTCAATGGAATTTCTGACACTTTTCATCAGCTGCACATGATTACTATATTCTTGAATTGTTCTGATATCAGATGTGGTCCCTTTTCTATAGTAGAGTCTATTGGAGTGATCTGTAGCCAATGGAATGTGGTGTTACATTTGAGTTGTCTGTAGCCAATGGAATGTGATCTTACATTTGAGTGGTCTGTAGCCAATGGAATGTGGTGTTACATTTGTTTTAGTAGCATGCAGATATTTAAGGAATTAAACTTTTTGTGTCTAATTTGGGAATTAAACTAGCCTAGGGTGTTAAAAGTAATACATGACATTGTATAATGACGTTGAAATGGTCTTCAGCCAATGGACTGTGGTTTTACATCTATTGATGTGCTTTTCAGCCAATGGGATTTGGTTTTGCATCTCTTGATGTGGTCTCATAGCCAATGGAATGTGGCATTACATATTTGGTGTGAAAATTTCATCAGTCAATCATTTTACTGTTTTCAGGATTCGTTGAATTATTTTTACTTCACTGACCACCCATTGTTTGCGGAGGACACGGTTGATTGGTTGACTAACGACCTCCTGGAGGACATTATTCCTGACCTTCTAATTGAGACTTTTACTGACTTTTCTAAATTGGTTTGTACCCAAATTAAACCAACTCACTCAGTAATCTTGGAATGGCTTATAGCTTAAACATGTGTTTAATCTTTCCTGGTGAACTGTCTAAACTCTAAATTAGCTAGCTCCTGTCTCACAAAAATCCGAAAATAAGATAACCTTTTTATAACAACTGCATCGGCCATAGATACATAAATGTATATGATTTGATGATAAAATAAATGCTTTGAATTTACAAATGAAATGAAAAAAAACATTAAAACTAAAGCTTATAATTTGATTTTGAAAAATTTGAAGAAGACTATTGTTGTGATTTGAGCAAGCTTATATAACACAGTTCTTTCATAATCATTTCTGACTTGTCTTTTACTAACGCTTGTCAATTATATCTATACACCCTATACATACTTATACCAGTTATCTTGAATACACCTTTCATATCAAAGATATAATGTAAAATCATATGTTTTTGTGGTGCTGAATTTTTGCGGTTTTTCAAAAATTTACTATGTCATTAACACTTGATTTTGAGGATAAAAAAATCTACTTATACTAATTTAACAGTTTGTGGAAAAATGAATTCGTGGATTTAGAGTACACAGGAAATCAATTCAAATGAATCTCATTTAAAAGTAAATGACTTTTTAATGAATACTTGTCCTATACTAGATGGTGAATTATGTATTTTTGTTTGGTTTAAATTTTGTGGTTTTACAAAATCTAAAAATTTCAACCTTATGAATTCTACTACTTGCAAAATCAGTACATGTTTATTTTTTTTATCATTTTATTTACATATAAATTTGTGTATGAAGAGTAAATACAAATTTAACAAAAATAAAAACTCCACAAAACATGACAATTTTACAGTAACTAGGTAATTGCTGACTGACAGATCTTTAAATTACTAACTATCCTCATTCTAAATTAATTATCCTCATTCTAAATTAATACCAAACCACCGTTTAAACCTGATATATTCTGTCTTATCTCATTAATACATTGTATAGCCATGGCACTGTGCATGTTGCTTGATTGATGGATACTTACATGTAGATAAATTCATTATATACCTTTATAAAGAATTGCTGAATGCTGATCCTAAACAATCTAATAGCTTTATCTTTTCATTATCAGTTATAGAATCTTTGATCAAATTTCAGGGACACTTTGCTTTTCAGAGATATTTGTGGTTTTTTCCCCGTTTCATTCCTAATGCATGTGGTCTGACACTGTAGTGTTGTGCTTCTGAAAATTCATTTCTGTTGTAGAAAACAGTGACAGCCTCCATATTAAGCATTGAATGTAATATAACATTAAAGTTTATTATTTTTAGAAGTTCTTGACTTTTCACCCTTTTTTTTAATGGTGACAAAAAAAAATTGTGAAAAAAATATACATAAATGTATATATATACATATATATATATACATATATATAAATATTATAGTGTTATTAATTGTTAATTTGCTCTCTTTAATTGTACCTATGTAATTATGATAACCTGCGAGGCATTCCGAATATGAAGGTGCATATTGGCTACTTAAGATATCAATATTGACCAATTCTGGTCGAAATTTTGCATAGGCTGTAAAATCCATACATATGCAATATAATGAAAATTAATTAATATAAATGTACGTTGAAAGCAGACCATGTACAAGAGAACTATAATCAGCTGTAAAACAGCCATTGAAAATTGCATCTTGTATCATTGAGATTTTGGTAAGCTATGAAATTTTCGAAGGATTTAAAAAAAAAAAAAGTTACACTGTACAAACTGTATACTGCCAGCTTACATATATAAGGAGTAGCCTTATTGGTTTTTGTCCTACAGAGATTGCACTGAAATATAGCTGTACTAATGGTAGTTTCTGTATGTCATTAATAATATAAGTAATTATTACATTTTTGTTTTTACACTGCATTTTCGTTAGTTGAGACACGGTTACATATTCTGTGAATTTTATTGATATTTCAATGTAAACTGCATAATTTCTCATATTGCACCGCTTTGTTCTATTTTCAATAAAAGAGATATTCTTTTTACATCACATATTTTTAACCAATCAAAAATAGTATTTCTTCAGTGCCCGTCATTTTTGATTGTAAACATGGAGGCAGACGGCTGGCAAGATGTCCGAGGAGAAGCTTCATAAATATGAGATTGACGGTTAAAAATTCAAATAAAATATAATAAACAATGACTGTTCTATTACCGGTTTAATACGGGAAACCAGCCTTAGTCGATATTTCTTTTTGTACTCCATAAATTCTCATATCAAATAATAGTGCAATATTTGTAAAGCATTGCTTATGCATGAATTCATTATTTTCATTTTGGTTATTTGTTCAAAGTTGATAATGCACTAAAATTTGATTGCTCCATATTAAGCATATATACAGTATGTCTCCCTCACATGACACAGATTCACTTTTCACTGACATACGGACCCTATATATCAGTTTAATTTATAAAGGATTTGGTGATAGAACCAATGCCGATCAGATTTGTAGGTAGAATAGAGGATTTGTTTACTCCTCCGCTGGATACCAGAAAGTATGCACAGTGATTGTGCAATAGAGGAAATCAAGTTAGGGAATCAGTTACAACAGCTTCACAGTAAGTTGATTCATTTTGAACCATCAACCAGTTTCGCCCTCTCCGGGATCCATCAGGTCCTGATCAGCTTACTCGGATTGATTCCCTAACCATGATTTATAAAAGAACATCTCGTGGTAGACTGGTAGGCAAATATCTTAAAGTATAATCACTGACATCTTATTTAATGGATAAACTACGTGATATTTTTGTGTATAACACATAATATACATATGTATGTAATTAAAAACCTGTTAGGTCAGGTTTGGATAATGTAATGATGTCACTCATCCACAAGTGGATATTGTGACAAAAAAACAATGGAGGTTCTAGATATAGTACTGAAACAACCTGTTAACTTTGAAATGACCGTTTTCAAAAATATTTTCCTGAATAATTGAAAATCTGATAAAAGGATATTAAACCTGATTCCATCGAATGTGTAAATTATAAAATACTTTGGAAATTTTTCATTTTAGCTTGTCAAAGTCTTGCTGAAATCGAAATGTCTAGGTCACTTTTCATCAATAACATATCAGATGGAAACACATGTTAATCCTTAAAACTGGGATAAGTTTTGATAGCGTTTGATTTCAGTAGTTTTAAGCTTATCTGCTTTAGCAGTGCGTGCTCACTAATCATATGCTAGCTGTCTTAGATAGGAATATTTCCTAGAAAATCATAGATTAGGTCACCCTTACTACAATGAACTTATCACACAGCTGTATATACTAAGTTCTGCTGCCTTATGTACACCTTCATGTACTGCATGTCACCAATTTGTGGTAAATTTAAAAAAAAAAGGAAAACACATTCATAGAATTTTTGTGCTTGGAATAATTATGTAGACTATACCTATAATATATATCAGAATAACTTGTTGCACTTCCTGTAAACAATCTTTCTCGATAAAGGAATGTACTTACCTGGTACATATATACCTGGTATGTGAATCATCTTTTAGAGATAAGATATTGGTGGGCTTGAATGACTTTTTTATATAGAAATACCATTAAAGAATTATTTTGTAATTAATTCAAAACTGTAATTAGATGTTAAAAGTTACAAAATGTAAAACAATAGATACAGGTATAATGTTCATTGTTTATGTAGCAAGTTTGTCTAAATGTCAAGGTCACTATTGATAATCAAAAGTCAAGCCAGGTACAAATTTTGTTTGGTTCACATTAGCATGCTTCTGACTTTACTCAGAAGTCTAAAATTTTGGACAAAGATACGTATCAACTTCAAAATAAATTTATACTTTTACTGCACATATTACTTGTCTTTTTATTTTTAACCACTCGCGGAATAATTGAGATGTTTAATGCAAATATAAAGCATTGTGTCTCACAGACTCCCAGTCATCCACTTCATAGTGTGTCTAGCAATCTGGCTGAAGAGATTGGAAGTGAGGCTGTACAGGATGAAATCGAGGCTGTGGTGAGGGAGGCCGTCAATGATATGGTGAATGAGTAAGTAGTAGAAGCTTTATATGACTGTTAATTCAAGTCTAAAAAGATCCAGATTTTAGAGGCAAACAAGTAAACAACATAATTATAGGATAACATTTACGATTTGAATTCAGGAGTTGTAGACTTGTTTTAAAATTATGATGATGATGTTGAATTTAAATACAATAAAATTTTGAAAAATCTAGTACAAAATTGAAATTCATTTATATATCATGAGCTAAATGTTTGCCCTTAATTTCAGTCACATGGGCAGTAAGAGTGGAGAGGATTGGTTGTCAGCCATCATAAATGACCGGATAGCTAACAGCGTGTATGACGACCTTTTTGATAATTATGTTGACAACATTAAGGATGAACTGGTAATTACTGTGAAATCCTATATCTCTGTGAGGCTCGATTTTCATAGTATCAAACTATTTCCGGGACCACTTGATTTAATGGATAAATATAGCTTGATAACTTGATGGAGAGTGCTTGTGATTTCATCGAAAATAAATCCCAAACGAAAATAATTGATTTCTTGGTATACTCATAGTTATACTTAACGATGTAACTTGTTTGTTATCGGTACAAATATGTCATAGCTTCAAATTTATCATATGATTTGCGACATCACTAGAGAAAAAGATATTGTCAGTTAGGATATCACCAATATAGATTTTGTATTAGTCTTGTGAAATTCTGTTTTCATCAATGTTTAAAAGATTATCTAAGTTGTGATAAACAGAATCTGGCATTTGTTTCTGTTTTTGATATAATGAGGTTTATGAAACTTGTTATGTTTCTGTTTACCTCGTTGGAGGCTCAGTAAATTCAAATGCTTTATCATTCTGAATATGAAAGGACATTGGTGTAAGATCTTTTGTGTCCAGTTTATACCTTCCAGGAATTTTATTTGCATATATTAATGAAAGACGGCTAAATGCATGTAATTGTAAGAACCTATGATAAAACTTATTATATCCATGGTAACAGATTTCCAATAGCTGGACAGTCTGAAATTTTTACTTTCTGTGTTGATGAGAGAAATTGAAAATAATTCTATTTACAGATAAGAGAGAATTAACATGCTGTAAATACATATATATATATAAGTATATATTTTGACATTCATTATAAGTGAAAGATTAAACAATTTTTTTAATTTCAGTATAAGCCAAAAACTTAAACAAATTTTTGACTTTCAGTATAGATAAAAAAAATTGATCAAATTTTGACTTTCAGTATAGATAAAAAAAATTGATCAAATTTTGACTTTCAATATAAATAGAAAAATTTGATCAAATTTTAAATTTTCAAAAAAATCAAAGATTTCTTAATTTTAGTAAAAATAAAAAGACAATTTGATTTGCCTTGTAGATCACAGCTATTATACAGGAGGTTGTCATAGAAGGCTACTTGGAAGATGAGATCATTGAAGTAGAAGTAGAAGAGGAGTCGGCAGAGATTGCACATGACATTCTACACCGCTTTGATTCCAAACTGATGAGGAAGGAACTGAAAGAAGTAAACATTGGTTATATCCAACACAAGTTTGACAATATTTGACGCACAATTCCAACTGCTTGGCCATGCCTAATATGCTTTGAAATTTTAAATTATCTTTTATATCTTCAGAAATATTTGAAATTAAAAACTCACATGAAAAAAATTTGAATTTTACTATTTGAAAGTCAGAAACACAAACATGTTATTGATATTGAAGTGTGTTATAATGTGTAATGTTTGTTTCAGGTGTCCAAGAAAGCTGGTGATAAATTAATGGATCTGTTTATTGGTGAACAACTTTTATTACTGGTGGCTAAACAGGGCAAAGTTTGGGGCGAAAATGACCACTACAACAAAATTATGGATGGTAAGTATGTTCAAGGACACTTACATCATTGACCACTACAACAAAATTATGGATGGTAAATATGCTCAAGGACACTTACATCATAGAAAATGACCACTACAGCAAAATCATGGATGTAAATACAATCTGGGACATATACATAGAAGAAATTTTCCTGATATTTAGAATTATATGTCCCTGCTGAAACTCACTGTATGTCTTTAGAGGCTACTGACTGTAGGACAATAACTGCAGGTTCGAGGCAGTATTCAATATCTTGTGCAGGCATCTGGGAGGCGAAAAATTGGTCTGCTATATTTCACTACATGATCATAAGATGCAATAAAAAAACTGCCTCCTTGGGAATCCTCGGTTTTATTCTTTGTCTTCTACAAATGGGACAATGAAGGAACCAAACCAGATGTACATTCTGCCTCCATCATGTCGGATCTTTTCCTTTCCTTCCTGGTGATCTCTCTTTCTTTGCTTTGTCTCCATTCTAGGTGTTGCTCATGATACCCAACCTCAAATGACGTTGTTTGTTGCAAGGAGATTAAATTCCCTGCAAAGAAAAGGGAAATAATTTTCATGAATTTTATTTTAAATCGGTCAAATACTCTCATGAATTGTCTCCCTTATTTTCTTTCTAATTTTCCAGGGGGAGATATTGTTGATTTCTTGGATTATCTTGAATCACAAGTTTATAATTTATTTTCTGTAATCGATAAATTATTAAAATCTGTACTAGAACTATAAACCAAACAACAAAACAAAATATAGTACAAGGATACCCCACCTCAAAATGACCCTGTATGTCCATGGACATATGAACCACCACCTAGTACAAGGATACCCCACCTCAAAATGTCCCTGTATGTCCATGGACATATGAACCACCACCTAGTACAAGGATACCCCACCTCAAAATGACCCTGTATGACCATGGACATATGAACCACCACCTAGTACAAGGATACCCCACCTCAAAATGTCCCTGTATGTCCATGGACATATGAACCACCACCTAGTACAAGGATACCCACCTCAAAATGACCCTGTATGTCCATGGACCTATGAACCACCACCTAGTACAAGGATACCCCACCTCAAAATGACCCTGTATGTCCATGGACATATGAACCACCACCTAGTACAAGGATATCCCACCTCAAAATGACCCTGTATGTCCATGGACATATGAACCACCACCTAGTACAAGGATACCCCACCTCAAAATGACCCTATATGTCCATGGACATATGAACCACCACCTAGTACAAGGATACCCCACCTCAAAATGACCCTGTATGTCCATGGACATATGAACCACCACCTAGTACAAGGATACCCCACCTCAAAATGTCCCTGTATGTCCATGGACATATGAACCACCACCTAGTACAAGGATACCCCACCTCAAAATGTCCCTGTATGTCCATGGACATATGAACCACCACCTAGTACAAGGATACCCCACCTCAAAATGACCCTGAATGTCCATGGACATATAGACCACCACCTAGTACAAGGATACCCCACCTCAAAATGTCCCTGTATGTCCATGGACCTATAGACCACCACCTAGTACAAGGATACCCCACCTCAAAATGTCCCTGTATGTCCATGGACATATGAACCACCACCTAGTACAAGGATACCCCACCTCAAAATGACCCTGTATGTCCATGGACATATGAACCACCACCTAGTACAAGGATACCCCACCTCAAAATGACCCTGTATGTCCATGGACATATGAACCACCACCTAGTACAAGGATACCCCACCTCAAAATGACCTGGGCTATCCATGGACCTATAAACCACCACCTAGTACAAGGATACCCCACCTCAAAATGACCTGGGCTATCCATGGACCTATAGACCACCACCTAGTACAAGGATACCCCACCTCAAAATGACCTGGGCTATCCATGGACCTATAAACCACCACCTAGTACAAGGATACCCCACCTCAAAATGACCTGGGCTATCCATGGACCTATAAACCACCACCTAGTACAAGGATACCCCACCTCAAAATGACCTGGGCTATCCATGGACCTATAAACCACCACCTACAAGGATACCCCAACTCAAAATGACCCATTATGTCCATGGACCTTTAAACCACGACCTAGTACAAGGATACCCCACCTGAAAATGACCTTTATGTCCATGAACCTATAAACCACCACCTAGTACAAGGATACCCCACCTCAAAATGACCTGGGCTATCCATGGACCTATAGACCACCACCTAGTACAATGATACCCCACCTCAAAATGACCCTGAATGTCCATGGACCTATAAACCACCACCTAGTACAAGGATACCCCACCTCAAAATGACCCTGAATGTCCATGGACCTATGAACCACCACCTAGTACAAGGATACCCCACCTCAAAATGACCCTGAATGTCCATGGACCTATGAACTGCACAGCAAAACAAAATGTTGGTCAGAAATCTTGAATGGCCTTCAAATGTTTTGTCGTATTGAATTCACTATGAATGAATAAGTAAGACCTGGTATGTATTTTTGTTGTAGATTTCATCCTTAATAGACTTCTGGAACAGTATTACTTTGTCAGGGACGAGAGACAAAAGACGCTGGCATCCAAACCAATGAAAAAATTACACGAAAAAGCTGTTTCTGATGTGGTAAGGGCTTTCAGATGTTGTCTCCTGGTTACATTTTGATGTGAATAGGTCTTTGTGTAAGATTATCGAGTATAAGACAATTTATTATTCAACTCGTTATAATACCATAATAAAAATTCTAAGACTTTAACATTGCAGTTGGGCATATAGTGATACCATGTCTGCGCTGTCTAGTTACAAATCGTATGTGTAGAGAATGTCTCATCATATTTAATCTTTAGTTTCATAACAATGCCTCCTTCACCTTATCACGTTCTTGTTTGTAAAAGAGAATTTATATTATTAGGGCATTTTCTAGTTTTTTAAAGATATATAATTTCCCATTAAATATGTTCTGGATTATAAGGAGCCCACTACAAATCATGTTCTGATACAAATGATATTGACCATATTGTCTAGATCTAGCCAAGTTGGACACAGATTCTGTTTACAGTGTCTTTTATATGTACTTTAGATTTGAATCTCAGTCGAATTGATAGCAATAAATGTAGTTTGATTGCTGTTCCATTATATGTGTTTCCCTCCTGTTACAGGCTTTAGATGTGCTGTTACAACAAATGCACGCCTCCCTTGATGAGGATCTTGCAGATGTTGATGAATATGAACGAGGGGTTGATGGCAATCAGTCTTCACCAGCTACGCCCATCATACCAGTACCATCAACAAGGATACCTCTCAGGTGAGAGATTGTCCCAAGCAATAGTGTAACCTACTGAAATAACTGTAGGTTTTAGTTTGCAATAAAGTTCGTGGAAATTATTGTGTAAAGACCCATTTCTCTGCAGTAACTGATTATTGTACACCTTCTTTAAAGAAAATAAATTTTTATGTCATTGCATTCTTTCAGAGAAGCCAACTGCTTCTTCATAATTTTATCAGCATAATTTTAACATGATTTTTTATCTATCTTTTTCATAGAAATGGCAGTCAGAGATAAGTTATGCAGAAATTTGTATTCTTGTTATTTTTTTGAAATTTTTTTTTTTTTTCTTTCAGCTGATGAAACGGAAATATTTTCAGTGATCAACTTGATGATACATATCTGTAATATGTGGAATTTCCGGAGATGGTGCTCAGTTTATATTATAATCTGCCACGCCTCAGTAGACGGTGCTTTGGACATCAATATTATTCTCCATGATAGAAGGGATTGTTATAAAAAGTATTTATACATCAATAACAGCCCCTCACACACAAACACCAATGAAAAAGCCTGGAAGCTGAGAGCAAGATTTTCATCTGTTTGTAATTGTTTTTAAAACTAAGGGTAGCCATTCTTTGTAAAACTGAAATTAGCAGTATCAACAACGAAAACATTTTCATTGTTCTGTAGTAAGCTATTCTGATCTCCCAGAGTTACTGCCCTTTGTTTCACTCTGTCAGTACATGGTGATAAGTTTGACAGCTGGTGGGGACCGAGAATATGATAAACCCATCCTCTATCTCTTCAGTTAACTGGAATGTGTTGGCTCCCAAGGGTTTTTGTAGAATTGATACAGTACACTACAGTTATAACAGATCTTGTTTGTGATGCATTACATATAATGGTTCAGTATAATAAACATTATTGGTATTGCTTGTGTGGTGATTAATCTGTCCATTAGTTCTGGGACGAATGGCTCATTTTTTTTCTAAACTGTCTCATTAAATTTGGAAAATTTTAAATGCTATATATATATATATATATAGAATGTCCCATTTTTTCCGCGTATCCTGATGGAAAATGTGGTGACATTTTAAAATGTAGATAAATGACTACTTTAGTTCTGACAGTCTGTAAGATTGTATAAAACAGAGAGCTGTATATTTATGACAAGGATTACATATTGAATTTAGTCTTCACCTCAGTGACAGTTCTGTTGGAGTTTAATTGCACACATTTTTACTCAGGTGATTGATGATGTAATGTCCACATTTTGTTTCACAATGAAATAAACCAGGAATATTGGACACCAAATGGGTTTCCATTTTCAAATAAGCATATCAATTTGTAGATTTTCTTTTTGAAAAAAACTGAAGCCTGTCTGATGTCATATATACTTTTTGTAATATATGTAGATTTGAAAATGAAAACACTGGTGTCTTGATATTCTTGGTGGATTTCCTACACAATGTAAAACATTCAGAGAAGATAACATTGAAAGCAATAGATATCACTGGTCTTTATTTTTCACTTTCCATAAAGGACGTCAGCAGTGAAATTTAATAACTGGTTAGGATTTCATTATAGATATTTGTGAACATTAATGGTAAAATATTCGAGAATCCTTGTATTTAACAAGAGTAGAATCTCACTGAAACTTATTGCAGTGGAAGTTAAGTGATTTATGAACTTTTGTATTAATCTGTTCTTAAGTACTGTTATATATATGTAATTAAAAAAGATAAAAACGTTTTGTATGGTATATATAGAAAATCATACACTTGATATATGAATATTTATTTGCACTGTCAGGTGTTTGATTTTCTTAATATATATGTGTGTGTGTGTGTGTGTGTGTGTGTGTGTGTGTGTGTGTGTGTGTGTGTGTGTGTGTGTGTGTGTGTGTGTGTGTGTGTGTGTGTGTGTGTGTGTGTGTGTGTGTGTGTGTGTGTGTGTGTGTGTGTGTGTGTGTGTGTGTGTGGTTTCAGGCTTTTCAAACTGGTCTGCAAAACCACAAGGTTCAGATGATATTTGAAATATTGATACAAATATACCATTCCTGGATTTTTAATCAATATATAATATCATTTCTGGACCCTCCGGCCTTCTATATGTTGTCAGCGTTATTTTACCAACATATCTAACAGATTATTAATTTAGATCTTTTGTGTGTTCTTTGAATTTTGTGCTTTAATTCTGTGTTGTTTCCTTTTTTTTTAATTTCTTAATCTATAAATATCGATTACATCAATAGGTATTACACCATATTTATAAATCATCAATATTTATTGTCACACCAGTTCTGGTCCTGGTAATAGATTTATAACTTTATAGTTCACATCAAAATGTTCCTTCACAGAGTTCATTTTACAGGGTAGAATAGTGGTAAAAAATGTAGATTTTTACCAGAAAAAATTAATTCATTGTATATCCAGTCTCCTGGAGTCAGTTCTCATTCCCTGTATTGTATGTCTACCTGAATCATTTAAAAGGAATCAATATATCATGATGAGACGCCACATGTGAAGAATTTATTGAGTATTATACATGTAAAACATGAGAAATTTGCTTTGAAAAATATTTTTTGTCTACCAGCTGCTCCTGGCCAAATTTTTCTTAACTCATATCTGGACACAAGAGATACGTAATTATGTGTGGATCACTCACGCTAGATAACAACATGTATTCCACCATTATCCTACCTTGAGGCACCTACAGCTAGTGACCCAGAGTTTCAGAAAATCATGTAATATATTTATATCCCAGAAAGTTGTCACAGTTTTCCATCCCAGCATTCTAAGTCTTCGTTAGTTGGTAAACTCTTGAGAATTAATTATTCTAAAGATTCACTGTGAATATTTTGTAAGTATTGAAATTTAAACTACTCATCCTCTTGTTTGGATCAATTATTATCAGATGTAAAACTACCTTCTCTTGTTCCAATAGGCGATTTTTATGATGATGTGCCTCAAGGTAATGCCAAACTGTACCTACAAGTTTTAAAAAATAAATTCTTATCAAAACTTTACAGTTTCTTAGGATAGGAAACCACATGGCTAGTAATTTACATTCCTTTCCTTCATAGACAGAGTTGTTTTTAATTTTTATGATATTTGGAGAATTTATTCAGTAATGAAGATGTTTTAAATTAATTAATGTCATTTTGAATTTTTTTTTTATTATGTTGAATTAATTTGTTAGTCAGCTTGACTGCGATATTGGTTAATGAACTGTGTCAAAATGTCTTTGTCCTGTGCCAATAATTATCAAATGTTTAAAATTGTTTGTCAAAAGGTTCAATTATCAAAAATGTCCTGTTCATATAGAGATGGTTTAATTAAGAAATATCAGATTGTTACTACAAGTCCTTAAAATGAATGAATGACTGTAATACAAATGTCGATGTTGAATACTGATGTATTTATCTAAAATTGATTGTACCTTACCAGGAAGTGAGATAATATTTTGGATAAAAAATGACAGACATTTTATTTATGCAAATCTGAACAATTTATTGTTACAATTTTACTTGATTTCCTAAATGTCACATAATATTCAGACAGCAAAGAGATGTACATGTTTTTATTGATCCCACCCACTCGCCCCCACCTCCCCACCCCCCAAAAACAAAATAAATAAAAAATTCTGAACATTACACATGTGACTATGTACTACAAGAAAAATCCTTCAAGAAATCTTTGCTACAGATGTTTCCTTTTAACGTGTGTATGTAATGCCATGTTTAGGTTTTTCATTCGATTTTAAAACAAAGGGATAAAAAGGAATGTTTTTATGCTATTCTACAAAACGGGGACAATTAAAATATTGGTGCCGTGTGCAATCATATGTATTTTTTGGCATTTCTGTCATGAGATTTTTTGGTGTTTTTCCTTTAAAAATTCACTGATATTGAAATGTAGTCTGGCCAAACGCTAGACTTTTTCTGTTTTTTTCTTTTTTGATTTTTCTTTAAAAATTCACGAATTTTGAAATGTAATCCGTCCATGCGAAAGACGTTTGATTTTTTTTTTATTTCGTTAAAAGTTCACTAGTATTGTAATGTAATCCATCCATACATAAAACGTTTTATTTATTTATATATCTGTTATATGGTAAACATTTATCTATTTATTGGAGGCCCGATCCTAGTATATACAACATAGTCCTGTACACATGCAAACAATTGACAACCCAGAATTTTAAAATAAGGATTAAACTTTAGTATAATACTGCAAGCATTTATATACACAATGTTACGTTATAGTTTCTCAGTTACAGTCAGTAGTGTTTTTACATATCTACTTATTCTTTAGATAAATAAAATTTTTTTTAAAAAACTCCCGATGGAGCGGGAGAGAGCCAGAGTCCTGTTTTAGTTGTAGATCGGATCGTAAGAATTCGAAGATGGACACCCAACAGTATTCAATACAACCCCATCTAGGAAGGTAAATACACATGACAGAAGTTATGAGCATCAACATCTGGATTTCATCGTTTTATCATTGGTTTATACATTTCAGCTGGCTAGGCTGATTCTGATGATGGCTAGCCTAGCTAGCTGAATCTTTTATTTCAATCATGAAACCATCCAGATGTTGATGCTCTGTCTTCTGTGTCATTTGTATTCTTCAGATTGATGACAAAATTACAAGACAGAAGTTACGTTACCATTATCATAATATGTATGTGAATATATATCACGCAAACTTTGTTGACTGTGATAACAATTGATGGATTAAATAAAGTATTGAATAACTTAAAGACAAATGTTGTTTCTTAGGTTGCCTGAGCCGAAGGCTCATGGTGACCTATTGCCATCATGATTTGTCTGTCGTCGTGCGCCGTGCTTCATTAACTTTTCATGTATTCGACTTCCTCTCAAGAACCACTGAATGGATTTTGACCAAACTTGGCACAAAGCCATGGGAAGCCGCTTCAAGTTTGCGAAGAAAAAGGGCATGGCCCCAAGAGGGGGGAAAAGGGGGTAAAATTAGGTAAACCAACAGTCAGATTAAGTTCATATTTGATATTTAGGATCCTTATGGCAAGGTCTACAAAGTTTGCGAATGAAAAAATAATCGGGTCAAAAACTGCCCCACTAGTGGGCGCTCAAAAGGGTCAAAAATTAAACTTTGACTGATTTCAACCAAATTTGGTAGACAGCATCCCTTAGTGAAGGACATATGAAATTATGTTGAAAAAGGTGATAATGTCCCCTTTGGGGCCTGTAAGGGGTGTAAAAGGAGGCATATGTAAAAACCTTCATTAAATGACTACTTCTCAAGAACCAGTGGATGGATTTTGACCAAACTTGGCACAAAGCATCCCCATGGGAAGCCGCTTCAAGTTTGCAAAGAAAAAGGGTGTGGCCCCAAGGGGGGAAAAAGAGTAAAATTGATAGGAATGTTCTACACAAGGTCCTGGCAAGTGTTTTAACTTTTTTGGGGCAATTCAAAATCCAAGATGGCCACCCTGGCCTCTGTTTGGCTAAGACATTTTGGACTTTCTCTCAAGAATCATTGGGTGGGTCATGTTCAAACTTGGTACAGATGTTTTACACATGGTCCTGCACACGTGTTGTTACATTTTTGCAACATTTTAAAATTCCCAGAATATTGACATATATTCCTCAGGTGACCGTTAAGGCTCCTTGGGCCTCTTGTTTTAAATAATAATTTAGGAATTTGTACCGAAGTGTCTTTATCTGTCTTACTGTCAGGAGATGGTTGTCTTTTCTTCCTAACTGAAAGTCAGGCAGGATATAAGGATTATTCTGTGTGTAACACCTAAAGTTCTCAACACTCAGTAGCTTCATTTCTCAAGGAATTTTCATCCAGTATCACTCACTGATAAAAGACCAAGAAATCTTGGATTAATTAAAGAGTTTCAGTGATGTAGCTATGGGGTCAAAGGTTACAATTTTTTTTTAGAAAATTTTTTTGTCAGTTCTGTTGCGTCTTCATTCCCTACTGGGATAATGTGATGACCATGGGCTTCATTTTAAAATGGCAACTTGTGTGAAAGTAAATCCCACCAAACTTCAAAGGGGTGGAGCCAAGGTCAAGTGAAATTCAGTGGGTATTACCACAGGTAAGTGAAGCATTGCACTGTTAGTATGGGTACCGGTATCTATGGTGATTAAACAATTAACATATATACAAGTTAGCGATTTATCACAACGTACGCGAGCGCTAGCAGCTAGTGGGTTCGTTTGATATATTGTCGCCTAGTTTCCCTAGTTTCATCAGGACGAAGCCTCAACTTCAGAGGCAGAACAAATAGGCAATATATCTAACAAACACACTTACTGGTAATGTTTTAATATAATCCCTTCATAACAAACATGTTATATTACTGAAATCCCAAAAATATATTAGCCACGGAAGAAAGTTGGTTTACAGTAATTAACTACATAGCAATATCTTGCTAAGAGATTGTAGGGTCAATGTCAAGGTCACATTTTTCAAATCCTTGTCATTACTGAAGGAGTTTCTTTTATTGAGGGATTAAAAGGTCTCCCTCGTCACACTGAGGCATCTTTTATAGTGCATCAGGCAAGGTTGAAATGGCATGGACAGTCACACTATTTGTGATGTTGTGTTAACAGAATATTTTCATTTGTATCCATCTTTATATGTTAATATAAAATGCATTATATTTACTGCTGGCCAAACACACCACCAAAGTTTTCATCTGGAACACTCTGGTGTAATAAAATCAGTGTATTTTTATCTAAGCACTCTGAAGAAGGTTACACTTATTAGCACGATCTTAAACTCCCACAAAAACAGCAAGAATAATTTTCATATTAGCAGTAATATACTTTTCTGATACACACTAGTTTCCAAGTGTAGTGTGTATATGCTGGTGAGATTTTCATGGAAAAGTGTTTATATTACTGAACATGCAACATGTACATATATGTGTACTACACTAGTGAAGTGAGCCTTCTTACTGACCAAATGTTCTCCATATATCAAATAATGTTCAACACTTTTAAGTCCAGTGTCAGGACGGAGAAATTTTGGTGCAGACTTTGAATTAGCCAAATGACCGCAGTACAAAAGGCACCGATATTAGAAAAACTGCTAAAATAAATACAAAAACATGGTTTTTTTTCAGGCTTCAATTCTGTCTGATTCTAAAGAAAAATTAATGGGTAAGTGTTAATAAAAAACAACTCCTGAAACAAATACATCAGTAAGAATGTTTAATTCTCATTCTTTCTATAAAACTAAATAGGAAAATGTGAAATTAATATAATGATTCAATGCTTAAATTTTACTATCTTTCTTCATTCATTTATTGGGATTGTCCACACACGAACCAAATCACATTGGTCGCTTCGTAAGCTGGTGACAGATGAAACAGCTGGCTGGTATATTTAATGGTGAAATACAGCCCACGTTCTTTTTATGGCAGAAATCACAGCCTGCCGTTTTTTTATGGCAGAAATCACAGCCTGCCATCTTTTATGCCAGAAATCACAGCCTGCCATCTTTTATGCCAGAAATCACAGCCTGCCGTTTTTTATGCCAGAAATCACAGCCTGCCATTTTTTAATGGCATGGAGAGTATTTTGTGACATTATCTAATTTGTAAGGCATCTTTTGAAAATTGTTACTAGTTTAGAAATAAAACTTTAGTCAGGACATCTAAAGGTGATAAATTTTCAGCCAGATCATCTTTGTTTTATTGATGTCCTACCCTCCTTGAATAGAAGAAAATAAAAACTGCTGCTAACCTGTATTTCCTCCTCCAGTTGAAGAAAACAAGAACTGCTGTTGACCAGCCTTTGAACCAAACCTTGTTAGCACAAACAATAACCATACCACAATTACATATCAAAAACAAGACAAAATTGGGGACAAGTTGATTTGATGCCTGAACATTTGTTGATTATAACAGTTAAAATATTGTATAATCTTATCAAGAGAATTCTTCATCATCATCCTGTATATAATCCTCAACAGAATTATAGTGTTCACCTAAACCAAATGCATGTCTTAGATAACACACAACAATGCTGGGCTGGCCATCAAACTCCTCTCCTACATGGACTGACGGACCCTCTGATTGCACCACTCTGATTGGTTGTTTAAGAGTTTGTGATAAGGCCCTGACCTCTAGTTGACCTCCCCATGCAGTTGTGTGAGCAGTGTCTTGGCAGTATTTCTCAAAGTCATCCTCAGTAAACATGTCACCATTATCTTTTGTAAGGAACGGCAGGAACTCGTCTTTGTTTTCTGAATACAGAAAATTGAGAAGAGAATCAAGACATTTTTTTTTACAAATATATTACGAGTGCTGTTAACTTTAAAGTCCGATTATGGTTACAGCCAGAAGCAATTTCACTATATGCAGATATAAAGTCTAGTACATGAGTAATCTATCAAGTATTAACTGTAACGAGGACCATTACACATGTCTCCAAAACATCCCTGCAGTCATAATGAGGACCATTCCAAAAACGAAAAAAAACCCTTTCACAATGCCCCTTATACACAATCACTCATGTTGAATTCCATTCAATAGATTTTTGAGATACCTGTCTGTAACCCCTCCGGTGACCCACTTGGTTTTGGGGACATAATAATTAAACGTTTCTATTTAAACTGTTTTCTTATCCATTTCTGTTATAAGTACAATATTTTGACTTTTGACATGTGGGGTGATGATTCTGATAGCAAAACACAAAACTTATACAGCAGAGCCAGTGTGGAATAAGTGTTTGCATTGATTTTTAGGTGTTGTGCCTTGAGAGTTAATAAGAGGATGAGAAGGGTGATTTGAAGTGGAATACGTAATCATCTGTCGACCAGAGAATTTTATACATACGTATCATGCAGTTTAATTCTCATGCAAATGAGAACTTAGCATTTCCATATGATTTTTTCTTATTATACAAGTATTATACTCTTTGTAACAAAAGATGAATTTTATTTTCTGGCAATAGTATTGCAGCAACATACCAATTTTTATATTTAATCTAAAAACAAACCTTTCAAACAATCACCAGAATGAAAAATTTATTACTGGAATTGTTTTAAGCATCGTGTATAAAATGTGTATTAGTTTGTCATTTCCCTTGACCTTTTGTTGACCTTGAGGATATTGATCTATGACTTGTTTGTTAAAGAGAAAGGAAGGATAATTTAAAGAAACCATATTACAAAGTCAAAAAGAAAACAACAATCGTTAAAATTTCATATAAACCATTGCATGATAGTATTTCAACACAGAGAATTGTATTTAATACCAATTCAACAACAAACAGTGGCAAGCACTAAATTAGGTTCAATCTTGTAAAGATTATAGCATAATGTAACAAACATAACAAATGGACGGACGGACAGACAAAGCCGCTCTCTCTTCGGGAATCAAATAAAACTACGATCAGAAATCAATATCTTCTGTTCAATATTTCACTACAAACTGATGTATGTACCTTTCATATACTTGGCGACCTGATTACGCAGTGCTTCGTTAGAAGAGCCCTTCCCAATCTTTTCCAGCTGATGATTGACAGCATTATACAAACAGTTTCCATCAGATTTAATGTCAAAGATTTGCAGATTTTGACTTTTCAGTGCTTCTTTTACTTTTAGCAGTTCTATATGTCTGGCACCCGAGAGGTTCTGAATGTCCTGTTGTTTAATTTCTTCTTCTCGTTCACGATCCTTTGCCAATTTTTTATTACGTCTTTTCTGTGCCTTTGATATTTTTTTCTCCTCTTGCACATAAGCTGCACTGGCTGATCCAACAGAGCTGGTTGAAATAGACTCAGCATCGTTCATGTCCAAACCTCCAAGACGTTCTGCCGCCTTAAATCAAACATAGATCCTAATTAATTATTACCATAACAGAAGTGCACAGGCTTAATAGCTGATAAATATGTTTTTTCAGTGTCATTTTTTTCCTTTTGCATAGATATGGCAAATGAAAAAAAAAAATTATAAACCAAACATTAACATTAATTTTTAATTACTTTCTGAAATCTAACCTTTCAAAAAATTATCACCAGAACCAAATTTCAATATTTAATTTTTTTTTCACTTCAGAGAAACATACATCCTTTAAATAACATGTTAATGCTAGAAGGTAACACGGTGTTAACCAATGTACACACACGTCATTATTTCAATACCTCCGATATTAATTGATTCTGTGTGTTTACTGGACTTGCACTCATCCAGTTGAGCAAAAGAGAAGATCTCCCTAACAAGCAGTGCATTGTGGCTAGTATAAACCAGGATTATATCACCTCTAGCCATGCAGAATATTGCGGCTTCTATTTTACCATGTTTACACATGTAGAAGGAAATTTATTTTGTGAGAATTCTTCCTCAAATTGACTTTCAGATTATCTGATTTTGATATTAACAAAAAAGATGTATAATGGTCCATTCATCATAAAATCTAATTCACATACCACTGTACAAGTACAATGAAAGACCTACTGTACTGAACACTTTAAATCTACCTATTTCTGCCATTATCTTATCTTACTGTTTTTGGGACTTGAAAATTTATGTTAAAATGTGCTAACTTTGCTATGTTTATTCATGATTTAATTCAGAATATGGGGAAATCTACTGATTGTTGACAAAACGGTCTACTTTGAGAAATGGACAGTCTTTTGGTCAGACTTTAAATGAAGGATGGGTAAGACATAAAGATTACCTGAATAAAATGTGAATGAAGAGGTTAGAATCCTTTTTAAGACATTGTGATATGAAAATATGTTAAGTAAAATATACAAACTGGCTCTGTTTTGAGAAAATTTTGAGGGAATTTTTCTCATGTTTGCATTATATTATTGATGGGGAATTTGTTTGTAATCAGAGAGGAAAACATACCACTAGGAGAATACTAATGTTTTCCAGTAGTAGAGCTTGTCTAGATCAATCCCTAATATTGGTAAAACATGCATAAAGCCAATTAATACTGATATGCAAATTCTTCAATGTGCTAATTCACCAAAATAGGAATGATGTGCTAAATTAATTAAGTCAACAGTAACTCTTTGATGCTAGATACTATTACTCACATTTGACACATCGGCTGTTGCTGCCTTCAGTTTCTGTGATTCTGCCTCCTGTTGTTCATCTAGATCATGCTCCAGTTTGGCAATCTGCTCCATTACTTCCTTCTTCTTCTTCTTGTCTCCCTTTGGTACCGAGTGTTTGAGTTTTTGTATTTGTGCTTGTAAATCTTTTCGCTCTTTCTTGTGTTTTTTAGACAAGTTTTCTTCTGGGTCCTCTGTGTCCGACATTGTGCTGGAGTCACACCTGAAACAGTCTAGACAGATGACATAAGTTGTTAAAAGTATGAAATTGTGGAATTTTTTCATTTGCATGGTAGACGATCAAAGAACTCCAATTAATGTGCTGTCTTTTCACCTAAAACATTGATAATACGTCTTATAACACACAACTTTTTGCTACCATGCATGTAATAAATACCATGCTAAAACTAAATTTTGGTAACAAAGGTAGCAAAAGGTTTTGACCTTCACAAAAAGGCAATAAGCTTAGGGATATAAACCAATCTTTAATTACTGATTATAATTGCCAAAGACTCTTTAATACTACACAAGCATTAATAACAATTTTTCTGTAAGTTTGTCATGTCCCAAAACTTGATGAAGCATCATCTTATAATCACAAAAGGTCATTCTCCATTCCTGTTAAGGTACTCGGTAGTAATATGAATTTTCTCTGTTTTGGAACAGGGTGGCATTTTACACATACTTCTTTCATTTCACACAAAAATCAATTAAATTTTGAAAATATTTCATTTATCCATGAAACTTTTACTATACACAAAGTACTATAGCGAAAGATAATAATAATCGACTTTACAACGGGTTATTATACTGTTAAGTAAGAGGTTAAAGACCCTCTACAGGTAAAAATCACTGGTAGCCACTGGTACAGCTCAATGTCTCTGTTAGGCCTTGTGCAAAATAGTTTAACTGCAGTCTAACGTTCGTGAATTAATGATAATATTGTGTATGCTAGTATAGGTGTTACAAAAAACCTGCCAAATCAACTTATTTGCGGAGCCAACGCAAATGATATATTTGTTTGAAATCTTTAAAGTAATGCACATAAGACTAGAAAAATATCTGAGTACACACATTAAGCACCAAGCCAGCAATTCAAGTATAAATTTAACTTACTCAGTTACCTATCAGCTGAAACGTGATTTTTGACCGGAAATAACGGAACAGAGAGTAAATTCAAAACAAACAAAAATAAATTTCCGGAAAAAAGGGATGCGGATTCACCCCCGAGTTTCCAGATTTCCAATAAATCTTTTTGCTCTTATTTTTCTTATGGATATTTTTCTTCAGAGCCAAGCAAGCTTTCAAGGTCACAGAGAACAGACATGAGCTGAGAAATACACCCATCATTTTTTTCATATCGTGTTGTTTTTTCTTCATGCATTTAATAAATATTACAAACTTTGAGTCAGAATATTCATGGATTGCAAAAAACTAAAACTTAAATAGAAGGTTTCAAAAATAATAAATTTAAAAAGATTAAAGGGGTAATGATATATATGTAAATTATGGTTCCCCTCGGGATTTGGACCGTTTTATGTACCATTGGAGACAATATTGCAAGTCAACGATAGAAGGAAAAATAAAGAAGACTGATGAAGAATAGAGGTAAGCCATTGTGTAAGTATTTTTCATAAGATTAGATTACATTGACATGTTGGTATTTCTTTTTAACCTGACGCTCATTTTCACCTTTGAATGTCTTGTTTGCGTAATGCTTTGTTTCACATACCACGAACTGACTAATGTGAATGTCGGCATCGAACTGACCAATATGAGTGTCGGCATCGAACTGACCAATGTTAGTGTCGGCATCGAACTGACTAATGTTAGAGTCGGCATCGAACTGACCAATGTGAATGACCAATGTTAGTGTTGGCATCGAACTGACCAGTGTTAGTGTCGACATCGAACTGACCAATGTTAGTGTCGGCATCGAACTGACCAATGTGAATGTCGGCATCGGACTGACCGATGTGAATGTCAGCATCGAACTGACCAATGTTAGTGTCGGCATCGAACTGACCAATGTGAATGTCGGCATCGGACTGACCGATGTGAATGTCAGCATCGAACTGACCAATGTTAGTGTCAGCATCGAACTGACCAATGTGAATGTCGGCATCGGACTGACCGATGTGAATGTCAGCATCGAACTGACCAGTGTTAGTGTCGACATCGAACTGACCAATGTTAGAGTCGGCATCGAACTGACCGATGTGAATGACCAATGTTAGTGTTGGTATCGAACTGACCAATGTTAGTGTCGACATCGAACTGACCAATGTTAGTGTCGGCATCGAACTGACCAATGTGAATGTCGGCATCGGACTGACCGATGTGAATGTCAGCATCGAACTGACCAATGTTAGTGTCGGCATGGAAATGACCAATGCTAGTGTCGGCATCGAACTGACCAATGTGATTGTCGGCATCGAACTGACCAATGTGATTGTCGGCATCGAAATGACCAATGTTAGTGTCGACATCGTGCTGACCAATGTTAGTGTTGAGAACTGACCCGTGGGTAACATTTGAATTTAACTAAATTCAAAAACCAGTTTTCTTTATTTGTCGGGCTCAGTGGTGAATATTTTGTGACATTTCAACTTAACACGTTTTGGTTTTAAACTATCAATACAAACCATTAGTCACTACTACGCAAGATATCATATTCGGTGTGACAATCATTTAGCCATCCAGTACTGTTTATTTTGAAAAGATGCGTTATATCTTTTTATAGCAGAACGCTACTGTATGTTAACACAGGGCGAAAAAAATTAACTGTATATATGTCCTTAGTAGTAACAGTAACCTGTCACTAACACAATCCCGCAGTAAAATTTCGTTCCAGTGTGTCACTCACATTAAGATCGTGGCAATTCTTATACAGTTTGCACCGAGGTTTGTGATTACTAGGGCGGAACACATAATTTAGGTACGTTCACGAAAGATGTTCTTACATTCAGATCAAATCAGTCACTATTGTTGATGGCATTACCTAAATATGTCACACCATCAACTAGGATTCGTTGTGTGTTAAACGTTTTTATTGATACCCCTGTTTTAGGAATGAAACCACCTCACATCACCGACCGTCGGGTCGTGTCAGTACTTTACATCCGTAGCTATATGTGGCGCCTGGACTCCCGAGGACGTTCAGAGCGACGTGGCTAATCTGTGGTTCTGCCCCGCACCTAGGGGTATCCCTAGTTTTATTACCCTACATACTCACTCTCGCACGACTTCCTCACCTGTCACACCTGGACACGTACACGTCTCAAGACAACACCATATAAGGACAGACACTGACAATACATAACAGGTAACACACCAAATAAGGACATACACGTAAATGCATTGACAGTAACGAATACAAATTAAACAGGTCGTTTACAGACACTAACTCCTATCTACCCTGTGACAAATAGGAACAGGGTAATTATACTTTTCAAGAGATGCTTTAGAAAGCATCGATTTTATTAAATGGCCAATCAAATTACGTCTTTCGAAAAGTGAGATTAGCATTGTGTCGTGACACAAGAGGATACCAGTATACACTTATTAACAATACTGCAGAATCAAACTGATGACCACTATATAAAAACAGAGATCTTGAGAAAAATAACTAGCCATTGTCATACTTCAATATATGACTATTCTCATTAATGATTTAAGTGATTTTAAGGTCAAATCAAACTTTTTTTTTACCATTTTCTTCAGGTTGGTAATGTCAGTAGAATAGAAGTTCTTATAACACAACCAGTAGAAGATTTGAGTGTGACGATAACTACACGGTCACCTTCATCTTATAACACAACCAGTAGAAGATTAGAGTGTGACGTTTTGATGACTACACGGTCACCTTCATCTTATAACACAACCAGTAGAAGATTAGAGTGTGACGTTACGATGACTACACGGTCACCTTCATCTTATAACACAACCAGTAGAAGATTAGAGTGTGACGTTACGATGACTACACGGTTACATTCATCTTATAACACAACCAGTAGAAGATTAGAGTGTGACGTTTTGATGACTTCACGGTCACATTCATCTTATAACACAACCAGTAGAAGATTAGAGTGTGACGTTTGGATGACTACACGGTCACCTTCATCTTATAACACAACCAGTAGAAGATTAGAGTGTGACGTTTGGATGACTACACGGTCACCTTCATCTTATAACACAACCAGTAGAAGATTAGAGTGTGACGTTTGGATGACTACACGGTCACCTTCATCTTATAACACAACCAGTAGAAGATTAGAGTGTGACGTTACGATGACTACACGGTCACATTCATCTTATAACACAACCAGTAGAAGATTAGAGTGTGACGTTTTGATGACTTCACGGTCACATTCATCTTATAACACAACCAGTAGAAGATTAGAGTGTGACGTTACGATGACTACACGGGTCACCTTCATCTTATAACACAACCAGTAGAAGATTAGAGTGTGACGTTTTGATGACTACACGGTCACCTTCATCTTATAACACAACCAGTAGAAGATTAGAGTGTGACGTTTTGATGACTTCACGGTCACATTCATCTTATAACACAACCAGTAGAAGATTAGAGTGTGACGTTACGATGACTACACGGGTCACCTTCATCTTATAACACAACCAGTAGAAGATTAGAGTGTGACGTTTTGATGACTACACGGTCACCTTCATCTTATAACACAACCAGTAGAAGATTAGAGTGTGACGTTTTGATGACTACACTGTCACCTTCATCTTATAACACAACCAGTAGAAGATTAGAGTGTGACGTTTGGATGACTACACGGTCACCTTCATCTTATAACACAACCAGTAGAAGATTAGAGTGTGACGTTACGATGACTACACGGTCACCTTCATCTTATAACACAACCAGTAGAAGATTAGAGTGTGACGTTTTGATGACTTCACGGTCACATTCATCTTATAACACAACCAGTAGAAGATTAGAGTGTGACGTTTTGATGACTACACTGTCACCTTCATCTTATAACACAACCAGTAGAAGATTAGAGTGTGACGTTTGGATGACTACAAGCACTAGGGATTAGATTTTGGGTATGTTACTAGAAAAGCGCGTAATAAATACAAAAAAAAAAAACTTATATCACCCGGAAGTGTTTTTTATTACCCGTACATCTATTATATCACCCTTAATTTTTTTTATATTACAAATGAACATTACTCCATGCAAATGGGCATTACCCCTAAGAATCTAGCATTATAGGTCCGTGTACTTTTTGAAATTGAAACCAGATTATTGTGTCACTTTTCGCTACCATCCGTTTGCTATGATATTGAAAATGTAGTTCTCATACAAGCACGTTAAGTATTTCAAACTTCATTGAAAGCTGATAAAAGTCCCTGTAACTAGTAACACTTATATGTTGGTTTGCTTTGAATTGTACATATAGCAACGATATGGACAAAGACCACATGTATATATCTTAATGTTGTGAATGGATTGATATCAATGAAGATTTCTCTTGTACAGTACCTATGTATACATATAAAGCTTTGTATGCATAGTTTGCTATCGAATATTGAATTCTAGTCAGTGTGGGAAAGGTAAAAGATGAACATACATTATGCATGTAACAATAATACATCAAATACATCGTCCCCTATATTCATTTCTATTCGGACGAAGGAAAAATAAAATTTCGCGTTTGCAGGTGCAAGCATTCGAGATTGTGCAAAACAGGTTTTGGTTTGTGTCCTATAAGTACAAGTCTGTTTCTTTATGTAATGCCACTGACTAATATATAGATGAAACTATAATGTTCGTGGGAAACTTATCAGTTGTTGAATTTGTATGAAATATCGTTCTTCCGTGAAATCGCTGGTTTTACGGATAACCATTGGTCGTAATTTACGCCGATGTAATAAAAATTTTAAATGCTGTCCAATAATTGAATTTTGAAATATATACACCAAGATCACGCTCACAGAGCCAGAATAAACATCAAGCATTTTCAAAATAGAATAAACAGGATATTTCTGATATGGTTTGGAAAATTGCAACATGTAGAAGCCCCAAAGAAGTATAAGGTGCTCAGCGTAACAGCCGTATAGGTAAGTAGCATTGTTAAATAAAACCTGCATTTCAACGAAAGCTCCATTTAACAACTGGACGTGTTTTCCTTTACACACGGACTTGAAACAGACTTCGTTTTAAGTTCGTGTTTCAAAATCATAATAAAAATAATAGTTAGATAAGACCAAAAACACGACGGTCCTAAATCGTTATATAATTTGTTTGGTGTCACTGCGATCATTCTGTATGTTAATACTCCAGTTACAGGGAAAGACCAGAAAGGAAATAACTGATACGGTGCTATTTTTGTAAATAAACATTCTTAGATCATGGACCGTGATTTAGGACAGCACAGGTAGCCGTCAATCTATCTCGGTCACGATCTAAATATAGACCCGACTATTATGACCGAGTGTGTCCGTACCGACAGTCACGTGACCATAAGATGTAGGTCGACCGGTGGACAGACAAAACGGGTACTTTAACTGGAAAAGTGGGAAATCCTCGGCCAAAATGGCAATACTAGATCCTTTGAGGGTAATGTTCATTTGAGAGGGGGTAATATAAAAAATTACGGGTGATATAATTGATTTACGGGTGATAAAAAAAACCCTCCATGTGATAGAAGTTTTTTTTTTTTTGAGGGGGGTATTAATTACCCGCTTTTCTAGTAACATGCCAAAAATCTAATCCCTATTGAAGGTCACCTTCATCTTATTACACAACCAGTAGACGATTCGAGTGCGACGTTTTAATGACTACAGGGTCACCTTCATCAGACATTATACAACGTTTTTGCTAATTTTTTGTATAAAAATATTTCGCGTTTATTTAAGTAGAATATTTAACTTTCAATCAAAGGCATCGTGTAAAAACGGGATCATATGAGAAATGTCTGTTTTCTAAGTAACTGCTTGCATATTACACATCACCTCTACTATGTGAGACAAATCACGTGATTAAATTTCTCATTCGTGCGTATTGAACTTTCGACTGCCTAACAACAGATATCGAGACATGTTTGAGCGGCGCCATATCAATACAGGAATGTATCATACAGAGCTATAAGAAGCTACACCCAAGGGGAATTCTTTGGCATTAGTTTTTATGCTTGTTTACTGATCACGAGCTGTGAACTGTGAAATCCCCTCTTCACCGGCCGTGATACACTCACATCTATCTATCTTTAGCCATATTCACTTCTGACCGCTCTAACAACAACCGATTTTTTAACTTGAAATTTATTAAGCTTTCTGCTACTGTTTATTTCTAAACGATTATCTATGTACTTTTTAGAAAAAATGATTTATAAGCACAGACTCGCTTACTCGAGCATCTTTGCTATAGCGTTGCTAATAGATATAGGCGATTAATTATCCGTCTGTATTATACGTCCCTGCTGTTGTTTAGATTTAGGTTTTAAGAGATCAATCGAGTCATTAGTTTGCTGTCTCCGGGTCTGTATTGTGTCTGTAATCATGTGTTTGTATATTGTTATGTTATATTTTGTAACTTTCCTATATCGGATGAGTAAATTAGCAAAGAACAAAGACCTTTAACTGGAGGTGATGATTTGATTGTTTCTAAATATTGTATTTGTGTCTTTTATTCGTACTGTTTTAGCGATCTTCACTCCGTCTTGTATAATAAATATGATGAAACGACAAAAAAAAATATCATAATTGTAACAGAATTTAGCAAAACCCAAAACCGTGGCCAAAACCCTCTCATGCGTGTCTGTAGAATGTACAGTACTTTGATTTCACACATGGATGACTATTAAATCCAACTCCATTTTCCCCCGATCGTAAATCTCTGAGTATTAATGCAGCGAAAAAAAGAATAGTTGCGCTTGGTCAAATAAAATGAAAACTGACGATTTCGCATTTTCATCTTATTGATGAATCAGTAAATGATTTAACTTTGCATAAAGACCCCACCTGCTCAGGTAGGAGCGCGTTTCTCACAAACCTACTGCGTTCGTTCCAGCGAGGGTGTTTCAACAGCAAACTACTGCGGGATATCCTTACTGACCGGAAGGACAATGACAAGGTACAGGAATATTTGTTCTTTAATTGTATATTACTAACTCTACTAAACCGTGCTTAGATAGAACTTACTTGTATATGAGTGAAGTGATAAGGTTGGAATGCAGCACTGGGTTTGAAATTACAATTTTTATATAAGATGACAACTTGATGTATTGGTAAGTTGTGAAAGCAGATGTATAACTTAATGTTAGCATTCATACAGAGATATACTTGAAAATTTACTTTAAAAACAAACAAACAAATTATATAGCTATAGTATCAAACCAAAGTGTGTGAATATATCTTATTAATGGAATCAAAATGTATACATCATAATCAATGACAAGGTTGTATAAAAAAGACAACGTATTTCAATTTAGTTTGTTAATTAACACGATATAGCATGTCCCTCACGATCGCTGTAAATAAACTGTTGCCGTTTAGTACCAGTCCTACCTGTACACCACTGTAAATGTGTGTACCTCAGTTAAGAAGATTTTTTAAATTCGTAGATGGAAAGACGGAGTTTCATGGTATCCAATCAAACCAATATTAAATCAAATGGAATTTTATATATATTTTATTTAACTTTAATCAAAACATTACAATTCATAACAACTCCTGATATTGCGTGTTGTAAACGTTTTGATGACTGTACATGTGTATACATATCGCTTCGTTTGGTCATAGAAATTTCTATTGCGCCAAGAAGCCATTTCAGCAAGCCTAGGCAGCGATTGCTTACGACGGAACATATTCACGTAATTGTAGTGAATCAACTTCGCAACTAAATTATTCAGAATATTTCAAATAAAAGTTTTACACCTTTAGGTAGAAAGGTGGCTGTGCCCACCTCACTATTCTTCGTTTTGAATAATAATTTAAAAAAAAGAGACAGGGAAGTTTCTCCAAGCATCTTCTGCAAGTAGTAAATATATCTCATTGCGAGTGACCGGTTTGATTATTTCAGGTTTTCAAGGAAAATTTGTCAGAATTATTTAGGAGTATATCACCAACAACACTGTTTGTAATATTGACGAAGTATACATTATATTAAACGGAAACTATCACCCAGTCAAATGGGCACAGCCCAAATATGGTTGTGAAAAAAATTACTAGTGTACCACGCATGATAGATACTTAGGTCTTAGTCCATATATATACATTAGAACATTTGTGATGTCCGCTGAAGGGCCGAAGGCCGTACAACCCGTTAAATATATCAGAATATCGATCGAGAGGAAGGTTTGTTTACCCCCCGAGACTGACCACCGAATATGTGTATACACAAACTATATCAGTGAGTTATGGTCATGAACTATACATGCTCAATAGCATAACACACTACACTGCTTGACAGCACAAATGACGTTTTCACACTAAAGCGTTTACGTTAACGCAGAGTTTTAAATTGTGGAGGGCGGTTAAGCCGCGGTTAAGCCGGGGTGGGGGTGGGGGTGGGGTGGGGGAGTGGGGAGGGCGGGGGAGCTTTTTCTGAAAGGAAGAAGCGGAGTGAAAGGTAGTGTAATCTAAGCGTTTTCATTTCAATAAAAAGGGATTGGAGGGGTCACGTGGTTAATCAGGATATATTTGTCATTTTACACAGAGTGAATTTGAACTGAGGTACACAATACACACACACAAATAGAGAGTGTGTGTGTTGGCCGAAGGGAAAGAAGTAAAGAGGGAGGCACAGTGGTATTGGTTACCTATGTATTTCATTGTAAATGTGTTGTTTATCTATATGTTACGTTGTCTGTATGTATTATTTATCTATATGCTACGTTGTCTGTGTGTGTTGTTTATCTATATGTTACGTTGTCTATGTGTGTTGTTTATCTATATGTTACGTTGTCTGTGTGTGTTGTTTATCTATATGTTACGTTGTCTGTGTGTGTTGTTTATCTATATGTTACGTTGTCTGTGTGTGTTGTTTATCTATATGTTACGTTGTCTGTGTGTGTTGTTTATCTATATGTTACGTTGTCTGTGTGTGTTGTTTATCTATATGTTACGTTGTCTGTGTGTGTTGTTTATCTATATGTTACATTGTCTGTGTGTGTTGTTTATCTATATGTTACGTTGTCTGTGTGTGTTGTTTATCTATATGTTACGTTGTCTGTGTGTGTTGTTTATCTATATGTTGTCTGTGTGTGTTGTTTATCTATATGTGTGTGTGTGTGTTGTTTATCTATATGTTACGTTGTCTGTGTGTGTTGTTTATCTATATGTTACGTTGTCTGTGTGTGTTGTTTATCTATATGTTACGTTGTCTGTGTGTGTGTTGTTTATCTATATGTTACGTTGTCTGTGTGTGTTGTTTATCTATATGTTACGTTGTCTGTGTTGTTTATCTATATGTTACGTTGTCTGTGTGTGTTGTTTATCTATATGTTACGTTGTCTGTGTGTGTTGTTTATCTATATGTTACGTTGTCTGTGTGTGTTGTTTATCTATATGTTACGTTGTCTGTGTGTGTTGTTTATCTATATGTTACGTTGTCTGTGTGTGTTGTTTATCTATATGTTACGTTGTCTGTGTGTGTGTGTTGTTTATCTATATGTTACGTTGTCTGTGTGTGTTGTTTATCTATATGTTACGTTGTCTGTGTGTGTTGTTTATCTATATGTTACGTTGTCTGTGTGTGTTGTTTATCTATATGTTACGTTGTCTGTGTGTGTTGTTTATCTATATGTGTGTGTTGTCTATATGTTACGTTGTCTGTGTGTGTTGTTTATCTATATGTTACGTTGTCTGTGTGTGTTGTTTATCTATATGTTACGTTGTCTGTGTGTGTTGTTTATCTATATGTTATGTTGTCTATATGTGTTGTTTATCTATATGTTACGTTGTCTGTGTGTATTGTTTATCTATATGTTACCTTGTATGTGTGTGTTGTTTATCTATATGTTACGTTGTCTGTGTGTGTTGTTTATCTATATGTTACGTTGTCTGTGTGTGTTGTTTATCTATATGTTACGTTGTATGTGTGTGTTGTTTCTCTATATGTTACGTTGTCTGTGTGTGTTGTTTATCTATATGTTACGTTGTCTGTGTGTGTTGTTTATCTATATGTTACGTTGTCTGTGTGTGTTGTTTATCTATATGTTACGTTGTCTGTGTGTGTTGTTTATCTATATGTTACGTTGTCTGTGTGTGTGTTGTTTATCTATATGTTACGTTGTCTGTGTGTGTTGTTTATCTATATGTTACGTTGTCTGTGTGTGTTGTTTATCTATATGTTACATTGTCTGTGTGTGTTGTTTATCTATATGTTACGTTGTCGTTGTCTGTGTGTGTGTGTGTGTGTTTATCTATATGTATCTATATGTACGTTGTTGTCTGTGTGTGTTGTTTATCTATATGTTACGTTGTCTGTGTGTGTTGTATGTTACTGTGTGTGTGTTGTTTATCTATATGTGTCTGTGTGTGTTGTTTATCTATATGTTACGTTGTCTGTGTGTGTTGTGTTTATCTATATGTTACGTTGTCTGTGTGTGTTGTTTATCTATATGTTACGTTGTCTGTGTGTGTGTTGTTTATCTATATGTTACGTTGTCTGTGTGTGTTGTTTATCTATGTCTGTGTGTGTTGTTTATCTATATGTTACGTTGTCTGTGTGTGTTGTCTGTGTGTGTTGTTTATCTATATGTTACGTTGTCTGTGTGTGTTGTTTATCTATATGTTACGTTGTCTGTGTGTGTTGTTTATCTATATGTTACGTTGTCTGTGTGTGTTGTTTATCTATATGTTACGTTGTCTGTGTGTGTTGTTTATCTATATGTTACGTTGTCTGTGTTGTTTATGTATATGTTACGTTGTCTGTGTGTGTTGTTTATCTATATGTTACGTTGTCTGTATGTGTTGTTTATCTATATGTTACGTTGTCTGTGTGTGTTGTTTATCTATATGTTACGTTGTCTGTGTGTGTTGTTTATCTATATGTTACGTTGTCTGTGTGTGTTGTTTATCTATATGTTACGTTGTCTGTATGTATTATTTATCTATATGTTACGTTGTCTGTGTGTGTTGTTTATCTATATGTTACGTTGTCTGTGTGTGTTGTTTATCTATATGTTATGTGTGTGTTGTTTCTCTATATGTTACGTTGTCTGTGTGTGTTGTTTATCTATATGTGTGTGTGTGTGTTGTTTATCTATATGTTACGTTGTCTGTGTGTGTTGTTTATCTATATGTTACGTTGTCTGTGTGTGTTGTTTATCTATATGTTACGTTGTCTGTGTGTGTTTTTTATCTATATGGTACGTTGTCTGTGTGTTTTTTATCTATATGTTACGTTGTCTGTGTGTGTTGTTTATCTATATGTTACGTTGTCTGTGTGTGTTGTTTATCTATATGTTACGTTGTCTGTGTGTGTTGTTTATCTATATGTTACGTTGTCTGTGTGTGTTGTTTATCTATATGTTACGTTGTCTGTGTGTGTTGTTTATCTATATGTTACGTTGTCTGTGTGTGTTGTTTATCTATATGTTACGTTGTCTGTGTGTGTTGTCTGTGTGTGTTGTTTATCTATATGTTACGTTGTCTGTGTGTGTTGTTTATCTATATGTTACGTTGTCTGTGTGTGTTGTTTATCTATATGTTACGTTGTCTGTGTGTGTTGTTTATCTATATGTTACGTTGTCTGTGTGTGTTGTTTCTCTATATGTTACGTTGTCTGTGTTGTTTATCTATATGTTACGTTGTCTGTGTGTGTTGTTTATCTATATGTTACGTTGTCTGTGTGTGTTGTTTATCTATATGTTACGTTGTCTGTGTGTGTTGTTTATCTATATGTTACGTTGTCTGTGTGTGTTGTTTATCTATATGTTACGTTGTCTGTGTGTGTGTTGTTTATCTATATGTTACGTTGTCTGTGTGTGTTGTTTATCTATATGTTACGTTGTCTGTGTGTGTTGTCTGTGTGTGTTGTTTACGTTGTCTATATGTTTACTATTGTCTGTGTGTGTTGTTTATCTATACGTGTCTGTGTGTGTTGTTTCTATATGTGTGTGTCTGTGTGTGTGTGTGTGTATGTTTGTGTGTGTATGTGTTTGTCTGTGTGTGTGTCTGTGTGTGTTTATGTTACGTTGTCTGTATGTTTATCTATATGTTGTCTGTGTGTGTGTGTTGTTTATCTATATGTTACGTTGTCTGTATGTGTTGTTTATCTGTATGTTACGTTGTCTGTGTGTGTTGTTTATCTATATGTTACGTTGTCTGTTTGTGTTGTTTTGTAAATGTTTCATTGTCTGTGTGTGTTGGTTATACAGATAACTCTTTATAACTTTTTCTTGTTTCTAGCTTTTTCCCAACGATGAGGATGAAGACAGGACTTTGTGAAGAAGAAGATGATATGTTTAATATCCACGGCCATGTTGGCAATCATAGTAGGTCGTCGATCCTGGAAAGTTTGCGTGAGTAGTACAGACTAACAACACAAAAGACATGTATAGAGAACGAAAAAAACCCACAAATAAAATAAACCTTTAAAAAGCATATATAATACAACATTTACACGCTTCTTTTATACAAAACCTGATGCCCTTTTGAAACATTTTGAAAATCAAAAGGTGTATGACTCATGTTGATTGCTTCTAGATTCTCTACAGCACCGTATGGTCTTTTGTATCACACTGTGTAAAGGCGAACTTAAATCTCCTGCGTATCCGCTTGGTTTAGTCCACGAATCACTGATGAATCCTAGAAGGACGAAACAGCTGTGTGATGTAGCATTACTGACGAATCCTTGAAGGACGAAACAGCTGTGTGATGTAGCATAACTGACGAGTTCTTGAAGGACGAAACAGCTTGATGATGTAGCATCACTGACGAGTCCTAGATGGACAAAACATCGGTATGATGTAGCATCACTGACGAGTCCTAAAAGGACGAAACAGCTTGGTGATGTAGCATCACTGACGATTCCTAGAAGGACGAAACAGCTGTATGATGTAGCATCACTGACGAGTCCTAGAAGGACGAAACAGCTTAGTGATGTAGCATCACTGACGATTCCTAGAAGGACGAAACAGCTTGGTGATGTAGCATCACTGACGATTCCTAGAAGGACGAAACAGCTTGGTGATGTAGCATCACTGACGATTCCTAGAAGGACGAAACAGCTTGGTGATGTAGCATCACTGACGATTCCTAGAAGGACGAAACAGCTGTAGGATTCAGTTTGATAAATCATTCAGCACTACTGTATTAACAATTAGGCTTCAAGTGAGTCTGCATTGATTGACACAACATACATTGTAGATCGCATCAAATTGGAGGAAAATAACACCAATTTGTGTGACATACTGTTAAGAAAGACACTGCGAATAACAATTAACATAAATATTGTTTGATATAGGTTTTTTTTATAGAATCTAGTTGTATTTTACCCTGTCGACGGTACGTGGAAATTCTTTTTGAATTGTGTTGATGTGCTTGTTTGTCGCTATATAGATTTATTATACAAGATAATTTTCATGCAAATTGTGTTTTATTTTTTACTTTCATTAATAAGGTATATTTTATTCATGAAATATGACATGGTTATCCTTAAATACAATCGTATTATGTATAATCTTTAAAGTAAAATTCGTATTATATTCTCTTAACATAGGCAAAATCATCAAATCAAGGACTGAAGATAAAACAAAAGAAGTAGTGACCATTGGAGATTTCGGAACCGCCGACGGACGTGCTTCACTCTGCCTTATCAATGATATGATCTGTGAGTACTGTACAGGAAGCCCGGGGATGATAATCCTTAACAAGGCCTGTGCTAAAATTAAATTTTACAAAATTATATATCATTACTTTGATTGTGAAATGAAAATACATATAATTATTATCACTATAACTTCATTTCAGATACGATAAAAGCAGGTCTGGGAGAGAAACAAGCCATTGTTTTGTGCTACAACGATCAACCAATGAACGACTTCAATCGACTTATCGAAGTTATCCGAGGTTGTATGAAATATTACAATGTCCAATGTTTCAAATCTCTAACGCCATATTTATATAATGAAATAGAACTCCCATTAAAATACGATGACAAACTTTTTACATCTGCTGATGTATTTGTTTAAATATTGTATTCCATACGTTATTGTATTAAAACTTTAATTTACACTGACAAGCTTTAATGTTAACAACTGCCAGTTCAGTGTAATTTCCGTATTTGTGACCCTGTTGACACTTTGCAATGTTCTCTTGTTGTGAATTAATTAATCAATCGCAGGTACCTCTTTAAGACTACTGTATATATTGATTAATAGACCTGTTTGACTTCTCTTCAGGGTACACGTCACAATACTCAGTTGGTAGGAATTCCCCTTTTGAAAAGCGAAGGAAGAATTTCAATCTTCTATATTAGCCATTTGATTGGTTAACATCAATGAATATGTAATATGGAAAGTAATGACAATATGTTTTGTAAACATTCTACCGTTTACTAAAAGGAAAGTCCCTCTTTCCAAGGCTAAAATGGCGCTATGTACTCACAACTTATACATAACCAATGTTTCTAAAGAACACAATAACACATACCTGTGACATTTGGCATGCAATCTGTCTTAGATAGACGGTATCGGAATAATGATCATTGTTCATCTTTCAGGGAACGGACAGAAATCTGGTCTAGCTCTCGGCAGTGACATATATCCGGTGATCATCCCGAGATGTATGTATGGTGTGTGTCTTCCATATAATTCCATGGACTTGGCTATATCCAGCGTAGCAACACATTATTTATCAAAGCAGTATGTAGTCAATTTCCTTTCGGTTAATTAACCTGACAGAATTTCTTCTCGTTTATCTTGTACACAGACCAAAGTTTTGAGATGACATAACACTGCATCCTCGACTTATGAAGTTAACATGTCGCAGTTAATTCGATATTCAAAGGCCTGTTCCCATTATCACGATCTTCGTGCAAGATGTCGTCAAATGACAGGAAAACTCGTAACACAGTGTTTAAAGATATACAGGTTGACGAGATTTATGGTCCTCAGAATGATCTCATTGACAAATATTCTATTTCTTTCAATGATACGAATATTAACATGTTTGACACTCGTTAGTTTGTTGGTTCGTGTCCTCTTCCGGGACACCTGGTCATATTCTTCTTGTACTTTTTCTCCATGTTAATCTTACTTTTGTTCATAGTTTGGATTATATATTTATGATGATATTGAAGTTGATATTTTAAAATTTGCTTTTGGATGACGTCCTTTCGTCATCAGTTTATGACACCTGAAGACAAAAGCAAAAGAAGAAAAAAAAAACAGAAAAAAACTGTCAACAGAATCTCAGTTCAAATTAGGTGAACATATGGTAAAAATAGGACCTGACATCCAAGTTTTGTGTGACAAAGAAACGTATCAAGGTTTCTAATTGTCAATCATTTTCAGAGTTTGTCAGATCAAAAATGGCATAAGCCTTGGTGAAGCAGATGAGGGTGAACAACTGTTGATTAGAGAGCAAGCCAAAGCTGACTGGAGGACATTTGTGATATCAAGAGGACGAGAACTAAAACCAGGTATACTCACTTTTCAATAATGGCATCAAATCGCATTGACCTATCAAATTAATAAAATAATGTTTTATTTTTTCTTTTAAAATGTACTGAATTCTGAAGTATCATTGGTCCCAGTGTTCCCTTAAGGTTAAATGTGTGATCATTTTGGATCATCTTTGAAATGAAGCTGAACGTGATTGATGCTCGTTAGTTTGCCTGTTGGTTCCATTGTTGTATACCATGTTTTCATTCCAGAACGTGACATGATTTTCTTGAATTGACGAAGATTTACATAGCAGGTGTCGTAGAAAAAAACAGATGACGCATACTTTTCCGGAACACCTGGTCTTATTCTCCTTGTACTTCTTCAGTTGCCCTAGGTTTATAAAATTTGAGTTTGGATTATGATAATATTGATATATTGGTATTTTCTTGTTTTCTGAAATGTCAATAATATGCGCCACTGCTAACTTTGTATTATAAAATGAACGTTTACTTCATGTATGGTAAATTGATAGGACCAATCTTTTATATATTAACTGCTGTATCAGGTGGCTACCTCGTTACCATGAACGTATCATCAGACGAGCATGACGATGAGGCACGGTTTGTGGAGAAGGGAACTACATGTGTAGCAAGTTTCGTAACTGATATGGCAAAGGATGGTGTTATCACACAGGTAGGTATCTGGTTCTTATTTCTACTGCAGTAGGTGGATGTTGTTCAACTAGAGGTTACACTCTACCTGTTCTAGCTGCCTTGAAATCATCAATGTTGTTCGGTTAGTTTCCTGGTTGATGTTTGGGTTTGTTTGTTTTATTTTTTGTTATCATATTTTTGAAAGGATTGAATGCATCCTTTAATCATTTCAATTCTCGTCTAAACATAAATGGTGTAATCTATCTAGTATAGCATTTTATCATGTTTTGATTGGATAAGAGGATGAACTTTGACCGAAAGGGCGTTTTATGTTATCAAGGAAATTAAAATGCGCAATAGTGATTTTTATATTTATTTCTAACTCGTTTATTTATAAATCATGATATTTTCACACATTTTTAAAAGTTGTTACCTATTGCGTTTCAGTTTTTTTTCAAAAGTTACAAAAATACTAGCATTAACATGTCAACATAATCATTATCCAAACTCAAACGCTTCACTGCAATGTACCTTTTTACTGATGAAATTCTTTATAAGACCGTTTTTAACGAAAGACCACATTTTGTTATCCATAAACAGAATAATGCACTAATACTAAATGAAATGTCACAGACGACCTTGGTTACCATTTGTACTTGTTATTTACAGGAGGAATATCGTGCTACCAACTTTAACAGTCACTATCTAAGAAAAGCAGCTGATTTCCAGGAGCCATTCAACAGTGATTTACCAGAAATAAAGGAACTTGGATTGGAACTAGTTTCGATGAAGCCAATTAAACACTATTTACAATACCCTACCTTTGATATTGTCAACAAAGGTAAGGCATAATCATACGATTTTATCGTTATATAAATGTTTTTGTTCGGATATGCACTTCAGGTAATCATCTGATAAATTGTGAAATTTTTAAACCATTTTCTTCTGTGATCTATCCTTTCAGGTTTTTATCATGAATGACAGTACTGAGATCATATTTCGAGCTGTTTAAGACAGCAGCTAGCAGCCATGTAGAAGTACTGAATGAAGGTCTGTTTCAGTTGGATCTCACTGCAACAGTTTGAAAATGCGGAGATAGGTTTCATTGATGAATGCAGATTTTTTAGCATAGTTTTTTTTTTTCAAAATAGTGGCAAGCGACCATATTAGATTTCTTCATTTAAAGTTTGTGGACAGCTATATTTGGAAACTACTTTAGGGATGACTTTGAGATTTTATGAACATATTCAGTAAGCGTATTTATGCACTGGTATATTTTTAGGTTATTCGACTTCAAGAAAGCTGCAACCAGCCTTCTTGAATTTAGCTCGATATTCATGATCTATGACCACTATATAAGCAGTATGCATAGTGTGGAACCTTCTGCATTTTCACCATTGTCAAAAATTCAAAATGGTTATCTGTGGCCATTTAAGATTTTGGCAGTTAAACATTCTGATAGTTGTTTTCTCAAAACCACCTAATAGATCTAGAATTTCTGGAAACACTATGAACATATTTTCAATATTGATTTCTTAATGTGATATTCTGATATGACAGAACATCACGAGAGCGTATAAACAAATTCAGTAAGGTCGACAATGGACAGTAAGAAAAGAATAGCGACTGAGAGATAGACATTATGGATTTAGACAAAGTTTGTCAGCGGTAAGGCCTCCCTTATATTCTAAATTGTACATGTTCAATATCACTGGGAAAATGCCGATGGATTGAAGTTAAGATGTGTCAGAGTTACCGAAAATAACACAGCATAATCATCTTTGTGAAAATATATGTTGAATTTTTTTATTGGAATTTATAAAAAAAAAAAGAAAGAAAAGAAAACATCTTCAATGACCCGTGCTTATTTCCAACATTTCTTGATATTACAGATTACGTGGAAAAAATGGATTATTCCCAGAGAATAGTTTCATCAATCTACCCTTGGATGTATCACGTGCTACACGGTGGATTGTCTGAATCCCGGACCGAGGAGGAGAAACAGGCCGTTATAGATAATTACTTTGACCGTTTAAGGGAGTACGTGTTAGCTCATTCTGATCACAAACCTTACGTTATACACACAGAAGTTGTCATCAAGAAAAAGAAGACAGCATGAACAAGGCAATGTCCACGTGGCTGGTGTCAATATTCCTAAATATAGATATGATATCATTTAAACACATTTTTACACCAGTTGCTCTTGCATGATTTTATATTCTCGTACCGTTAAATCCCGTTGTCAGTTTATAGCCATTATTGTACATTACTACTCTCGAGATTGATCGGCGAAAGGCAATGGCGGATAGACTGTTATCTTGTTTCTGAATAATTCTGGTAGCTATTACTCCAGAATACGGTGTCCAGAGGTGCAATGTCCTCACACTGCAGGAATATAACATAACCTCTACAAGGCTGCATACCACCCCACCCGAATAACATTGTATTGACAACGTGCACTGCAGATGTATTTGTGTAGAACGTCAAGCGAAGAGCATCAGGTTGGTCACCAGCAGTGTATGAAACTAAATACCTTCCTCGATTTGGCAGACACTCATCACTAAACGCTAAACACCAGGTGTTACCAAGTGATGTGTTAGGAAGATACTTAATGTGAGCAAAAAGTTGAAGTGGACGATTTAAACTTCGTCTAAATCAAACTGAATCATTTCGGGAAATAAATGACCGAGTAAAGAGGCCAAGACAAGTTTCTACATTTACATCGAATTGCCGTACAATACAGGAAGTTCAATGTAACTCATAACGTTATATGATCATATCTAATTCATATTTCCTTTTCAGTCAGAGATAAGGAAAGAACAGGTAGGTTGAAATGTGTGTAAATAATTGATATAACAAAGACAAGGTAACAATGACTATATAATTACTCAGCAGCGTCACACGGCAACTGAAACACCAGAATGGCAACTAGGCATCGAACTTCACAAAACAAGTATCTGAAAATCGTTTGGGAATGTGATACTACTTATTTGAATTGACCAAGTGTCGTCGACCAAGCTGAAGACGCTTATCCTTCTGAAACACATCTGGTTTAATTATTGCCTTGTCAAGAGCCGACATGGTAATCATTCTTTTGTTCATATCTTGTATTTTTATCGAGTTGGACTTTGAATGTTGTTTCTATTCCTAGTAGTTTCGTTTTATTCTTTTTCTTTAATATCAAACAAGTCGTAAAACATGGTGTCCGATTGGTACTGAACTCTTCACGGAAACATTGAAGTTGAATAAAAGCAATATGACTTTATGATTACATTGGTGTTCACCTCAATTTCCATATAAGCTATAATTTACTATACAGTCGAACCGCGTTATATCGAAATCACATTACCAGTTGATCCTGTTTAATTCGAAATATTTCGTCGGTCCCGGTCACATTTCCCTGTAAACTTCGAACCGATTTAATTCGAATACTCGATTAACTCGAAGTTTTCCGACCTTTTCTCAGACTTCGAGATAACGAGGTTCGTCTGTATATTGCGGAAATTGCCTGATTGATTTATTGCTTGTATCTGCGAATACTGAAGACAAGTACTGTGAAAAGGAAACTTGTGTCCAATTATTCTGTAATAATTTATTTTAAATAAGATATGTTTAAGTCAAAGATAATAAATGATGATACAAATCATCAATATCATGGTAAAGATTTCAAACAAGCATACATACAGCTATTTGCATAAAGCTGGCATAAAATTGTGTATATCAATCCAGATGAGGTATCTCATTAATATTAACACGACACGGTATCTATTTCGGAGAGAGCGTGTATGTATATTCTGAATGTTTGTTTCGTACATAACTCGGTCCAAATTCATCATACTCTGCCTTGGTCACCCATTGGTCATCACAGTTATACAACGACCCAACAATAGAGAGACCTATCCAGTTCCTGGAATTGCCTGGTGTGAAGATAACTCGTGGTTCACATCCAGGGTATGTGTTCATCTTCTTCAGTTCACATAGAAGTCGTGTTGAAAGCCCTGTAATTGATTTACAAACAAATAATAAAGTCATTCATTGGTAAATTTCAGTGCAAGATATAAAATTCATGTCCCGGAACATCACTCTGCCAATACCGAAAGTATTGGTGATGTCATCGGCAACGTATGGCTATAGTGACGTCACAATGTTTTGAATATGTAATCGTAAATGTGATTGGCTAGAATCCTCTCGATATTTACCTGTCATCTCTGGAGTACCTCCAGTTAAAACGACACGCTCCATCAACTCCTTCCTAACATTTATCGGTACGTTGTTTAAACAGTTCCTGATAGCATTGTGTATTCCTGGATTAGACAACCCTTTAAAATAACAAATTAAAGCTTTATATTATTTATGAACGGCAAGACAAAAGTAAATGTGGTTAATGTTGACTGGTGACCCTGTGAAGTTCTGATAATAGTAACTCATTCCATACATTCCAAACATACGATACAAATTCCCTCCCGGTTCCATCTTGATTTAAGCGCAATAAGAACAGAAACAAGTTGTCTGAAGTTTGATCAAAATTCCTTATTGAGTTATACCTCTAGAGTGTCAATAAGAGTTTTCTTAAAATAGTAACGGTGACCTTGACCCTACAGACTAGTGGCACCTATTCGTCCGTAGTATAAAGGTCCTTCACATTTATGCTAAGTTTGATAGAAATTCTCACAGAAATGACACTAGAATGCTGACATTTATTTTCTAGGATAAATAATGAAGCTTGATATTGACCTTCGATCTTGAAACTCAAACTCGCATGCAATGGAATCTGTCACGCTATTTTAGCATTTTACCTGCAATTGACGGATCGAACAACACCTCTGCGCAGGTCCATTTTTCTGATGTCATTGGCATGACGTCACCACCAGGCAATGTGATAAGTGTTTTATCACGGTAAGAAACACGGGTGTCAGCAGTTTCTTTAGGTAAGGGTACATCCGAGACGTAGCAATACTTCTCTTTTATTTCTCGCAGAAGTTCGAGCTCACCTGTCAAAAATATTTGTGATAGTAAAGTGAAATATACCTGCATATCAATCAAGGAATACATCTTTCAATAGAAAAAAATAAATAAGTAGATACAATTTTACGATCGGCTGTAACAGATAAGGATAGGTTCATACATTTAATAGTTTATTATCTATAAGTCGATTGGTGTCGCCTTCTTATTGGCCTTCTTCAAGACAGCGGGTATCGAGACGAGGGGTCCGTTCCACCACTGTAGGCATGACTGCGCTGGCTTTGTATCCCCTAACTTGAAACAATTTGCATCACGATTAATTTTCGCCCTTGTCCATGAACAGGAAAGGCGAATTCAAGATGAGGGTGAAAATTTGTAACACTTGTGCAACTTTTTTATAAAATAATTAGAGGGCGAAATGAACATTAGGCTTATCCGTGTTAAATGGTACAAGGACGAAAATATCCCGGTATATAGTAAACATATACAGCATAGCCTACCACATATCTAAACCACGTCATACAAATGTTTCGTCCTTCTAGGACCCGTCAGTGATACTACATCATGCAGATGTTTCGTCCTACTAGGACTTGACAGTGATACTAGATCACACAGTTGTTTCGTCCTTCTAAGACTTGTCAGTGATACTAGATCATACAGATGTTTCGTGCTTCTATGTCTTGCCAGTGATGTTACATCATACAGCTGTTTCGTCATTCCAGGACTTGTCAGTAATTCTGGGAGCCTGATGGTTGATTTTTAGTTTGCATTTAGTGCATCTAGAGGTGAACTTGATATAAGATGTTCTAGACACTGGAGCAAGAAACAAAAAAACACTTGCGGAACGTCCATCGAATTTTATATTGAATGCCTCCAGAGCAATTCCCGAAATTTTAAAACTACCTTTCCGAGCGCTCCTAATGGGGTACACCTCGATATATTTTGCAATTGTGCGTGTGTGAGTGTGTCGTGTCAATGTACTGAAGTTAAGCGACGTCGAGCGTGGCCAGCACCTGGATGGGTGACCGCTCCACTGTTTTCTTCGTGCACCAGAGCTTTACTGGGAATCAAATTTAAAGCGTTATCAGCATATAGGACAAAATACCTTACTACAAATATAATAACTAAGAAAACTGGTCGTACCTGGGGTGGTGAAATTGTACCCTTTCCTACTTAACTGGGCCTGGAGGTACATAGTCACATCGTGTCCTCCCATCTCAAGTTTTTGTGTGGCCGAGGGAATACGAAATTCTGTTTTAACATTAAATACAAAAATCAGGGGTTTTTCAATGTTATATAATTGTTTTCACCTACTCTACCTAAGATACCAAGTATGCATTCCATTGACTTAATCCAATTATGAACTAATGGCTTAAAAGTTTAATTTTACACTTTTGCAATATCGCGAAAATTTCAACCAAAAAAAGTTATATTAATGTCAAAGATATAGTACTTCTATAAAAACATTTTTGTTCCATTGACTACTCCATATACACTTACTGTCGCTCACCGCTGACACGGTAGTTGTACCGTCACCTATACACACACATAGTGCTGATAGGTACCCATGAGTTAGCATTGTCATTGTGCCTTCATCAGTCACACAAAGAGATGGAAAATTATACTTCTCAAAGAAAATCTGAAATGTTTGAAAAATCAGTAAGAGTGAAGGTGCTTGCTTACCTACTATCGTCAAAGAACTTTTAAAACCATTAAATGGAATCGTGAATTATAAAAATCATATCACAGAATTTATAAATCGATAAAAACGAAACAAGGCTTATGATATGAACAAAATGTACAAGACTAAAAACAAAAGTTTTCAATGACACCCGCCATCAAATTCTAGGTCAATCCAAGCAATGTCATGTTCAAAAAGTAAAAGTCGATTTAATAATAACACAATTGCATCGCGCAAATTTCATATCGCACAAATAAACTGGAACAATAAACCCATAACTTTCATTTACCAACATTTCTTCAAACTGAATCACTTTTTTAAAAATCTTCATAAACGTCATCACACCTGTGCTTTCTTCTCGGTTTGAGCCATTGGAGACAACAGATGTTCTGCTGTAACAAGCTGCCATATTTCAGGATTAATTTCCATCTTCTGGTAAAACAAAAAGTCCCAAATCTGTTCCATGGCGTCCCAGTCGTGTATTACTCCGC